GTTTATTATTAAGTTTATAAGATAACAAGCATTATTGAGAATTCTTTAAATTTTTGCAAACCATTCTTCCAATGGAATATTTACAATAAAAAAAGCATAAAAAATATATAGAAAATATTAAAATTTTTTAAATTTAAAAGTCAAATTTTCTTCCAAATGTTTAACATTTACTTAAAATATTTACAAAATGCAATATTTAATTGAAATCAACAGCAAAAACATATCTATCTTAATGTACTTTTATAAACCTTTTAAGAAAGCAAAGTTTGATTTTCCTAAAAATCTATGAAGCAAGATGCTACATCACATTACAAATTTAGTGTATTTTTCAAAAATAAAATTTATTGATACAAATAAAAATTTTCAGCAAAGTACAATAATTACACTTTTAAACTAACTTTAATATGTGAGGGAATATTTATAAAGATAAATTAAAAAAGAATTGCAATCTATTCATTAAGGTAAATTGAACTAAAAAATTTACGAAAGCATCAGAAATTCACAAAACTTACATGTATTTTACTCTAAAAAGGATATATACTCGTAACAGAATAAAAAAAAGTTTTTTCTAATAGGTGAAAGCATTCAATTTTCGAAAAATTAATATATAACAAAAAAAAAAAGAATTATTATTGTACATTTTTATATTAAAAATTTCAAATATTGTTTTTGGTTAATTTAAATTCTATTTTAAGTTGTGATATAAAATTCAATAAATACAAGCATTAAAATATATATGTATATAAATGATAAGTACCAAAAAAAAAATAAAATATTATTTCTGTCCCAGAGGATTATTTAATAAATGGTTTTTTTTAGTTTGTTTGTAAATAAATTGTTCTTTTTATTTTAAATTTTTTTGTGTTCAAATTTTACCGTGTTGAAGTCATTTATAAATAGATTATTTTTTTTTAGATAATTCAATAATGTGTAAATTTAATATGAACTATATTTATAACAAATAATTAAAAAAATTAGCTATTTAAATCACTTATTTTCAAAATAGTTTCTTACTGATTCAGTTGAAATTTTAATTTTTCTATCAAAATCATATTATAATTTGAGAATGTTATTCAAATGCGATGTCCTTATGCAATTTTAATTAATTCTTAATGAATATTTTCTCTTCCAATCCATTTGTTAAACGTATTAAAATCGGTTTCCAAAATTTCATAATGAATAATTTATCAAGAAAATTTACTGATTTTGGTTCATCTATCTACCAATTAGGGATTCTTTTCCTAAAATATAAAAGAAAGTAAAATTTCATTTTTTAAATTGAAAGCAACAAAATTCTTTTTAATTTTTCCAAATAATATATAAATAAAATTTGAAATTTTTTGCTTCATCAATATGTTCTATATTATGTTTATCCAATATTTTTTCTTGAAACATTCTTCTTATTAATTTCTCATAAGGTTTTACAGTTTCTTAACAATCTGACTTAATTTTTTCAAAAAATTTAAGAAAAATTAATACTTATTATATATTTTCAACAATATTTTAGTTAAAAATTTAATTTTAATTTTAAATTAACCAACGAAAATTAAAATAATCTATTTGTTAAAATTGACTTTAACTTTTAACTTTTGTTTTTTTATTTGAGCCAATTATTGCAAGCAAGAGTGTTGTCACCGGAACAGAATTAAACGTCACATTTTGGCATGAAAAAACATAATTTTAAAATCTACTCTTTAAAATACAATTTACAGCGTTTGTTAAATAAACGAAAATTCAAATTTTATATCCGTTTTATAATTTTATAATTTTATATTCTTTTGAGCGTGTGGAGATTAAGAAAAATAAAACCAGTACGTAATAAATAATTTTTAAATAACTGAATAAATTTATTTAATATTTTTTAAGAAATTTATAAATATTTGAATTAACCTTTATTAATTTTTTATTTAACTCGTATATTAATTTTTATTAAATTTCCTGTTTCAAATTTGATGATGACCGGCGTTTTCAATAATTGACTCAAATAAAATGGCATTTTTATAAACGCAGCATATCGCGATTTATAGTGAAAACTATAGTTATAGTGAAACTTACATAAACAAATGATGTTAACTTAGTTTCTTCCTGAATCTGGCAAATTTTTCAGGATATAGCGACTAGTATTGCGTTTCACAGTTATTGTTTTTCAGTATTGCGTTTATGAAAATGTCTTTACTCTACTGCCGCGTAAAATTTTTTTTTTGTATTATTAATCACAAAACATTTTTTTTAACTTACATAAAACATACTGAATAAAATAAAAATAAAATATATAAATAAATATATAATTATAATTATTATGTATTTAGATCTCATTTCAATAAAAATGTATATGTATGAAAAGGAATTAAAAAATATTATTTTTTCTTGTTTTTTTTTTAGATAGGTAAGTTATTTACTCTTTTTATTTTTTGTGTATTTTTGTTTTGAACAACTTTACGCTAAACTTTTATAAAATAAATTTTAGAAATTATAATTGAAGTAGATAATAACCATAACTAAAAATACATGCGTATGCCCAGGCTATTTTCTTATTATCTCATCATTATATTATTATAAAATTAATATAATATTAACAAAAAAAAAAAAATACATACAAAATTAATACTTTAAAAACAAATACCAACAATACCAATCTAAATAAAATTATCAAATTAAATAATACAAATTAAAAAGAAGCTATATATTTATGGGACATAAAATTTTTTAATCTAAAAACAAGATGAAAATAAATTCGGTTTCATAAAACAAACAAAATAAAAGAAATAAAAAAATCCAAAATAGTCAAGCAAAGAATTTTTAAAGAATACTAAAACATAAGAAACAAAAATTTTTAATGAAAATATTTTAAAATTGAATTTCTATAATTGAAAAAAAAAAATACAAAATCGCATTTAATTAATATCATAATTAAATACAAATATAGAATATTCAAGTAAATAGACTAAAATTAAAAACAAAAAAAATAAGACAGATTTTAAAAAATTACTAATTTTGTCCTTAAAATACAAAGAAAAAACAATATTATACAGATTCACACACACATAAAAAAAATAAGGCTATATAAATTAAATAACAAAAAAGAAAACAAAGTCTTTCTATTATGTTGTATAACAAATAAAATTATTAATTTATAATAAAAATAATAATTAAATAAAATTAATTATTATAAAACAAAAATAACAAGAAAAAACAAAAATTTTATTAAAATTCATTTCAACTTTTAAGCCTATAGATTTAAATAAAAAACAAAAAATTGAAAACAAAAAAAAATAAAAAGAGAATTAAGCTAGGATGATTAAAACAAAAAAAAACAAAAAATTCAAAAATGGAAAAAAAAATTGAAAAAAAAAAAACAAAAACTTTAATAAAAGGATATATGATTGAAAAATTGATATTTGGCATTTTTATTTCACACAAAAATTTTCATTTAACAGTTGATTTGTCTTCACAATGTACATATATATTCGTATAAAGATATAATCTATAATGTCAAATATAATCTATAATGCCGGCCGACAATAATGGCATCTGACAATCACAAACTGGCCATCAACAATTTATGCTGAAAATATCTTTGTATTGAAAATTTTGCATATTATAACCAGTTGACCCCTTACCTTAGCAACAAATTATTTTTGGCTTGAATATTTCTAGAACTTAATTTCATCAAACAAAATTACCTATCCTCTTCAAAATTTTCGATTTCTTACAAAAAACAAAATCAGCAATTAAAATTTTTTTTTGTTACAAAAAATGCCAAAAAATTTTAACGATATGGCAGGCATTATTAATTGCTTGACATTTGTTTTTTTCTTCGTCAGTTATAATACAAAAGTAATTATGATTAAAAGTTAAAAGGCTTTTATTAGCTGCAATGCAATATCGATTAAGATGCAAATAAGATGCAAACAAATCCAGAGCGCACTTAATCATTATCGACTAAGATTGTTACTTGGAAATGCATAAGGTATAACTCGTATCACATTTTTCTTGTCAGTTATGTACTTTCAACGTTTCTAATAGATTTTTTCAGATTAAAATACAGTGGGTTTTTAGATTATTGATGAGAGTATATTCATGTTTCAATATTACAATTGGAAAACAAAATTGAAAATGTTTTCAAAATAGTTTTTTGCATAAGTTACGTGTTGCTTTTATAGCAATAAAGTTTTTTATTAGTACCGACGTAGCAGTTTTGTAACGCAAGTGAGTAAGTATGTACAAATAAAAGAAATTTCATCGAGGTAAGTTATGACATTTTCAGCCCTAAAAGTTATATTTCCATATAAATGCATTTAAAAGTTTCAGAAAAATTTTACATATTTTTAAATTGTGGTCCCAAATTCATATATAGAACATTTATGATTATGTATGTTGCACTAAAATTATGTTTCCCAAGACCAATTTTTTTTTTAAATTTTCCTTTTAGAAAAATGGCCTAACCTGGTTTTAGACGCAAAGAAAAAGTATAACTTTTTTTAAATTGCCAGTTTTGGCCCGTTTTACATGATATATATATTCAGTAATATTTGATACAATAATTTTATATTTCATGAATAACTGCTAAAGGAAGAAGTTAAAAATAATTAAAGGCACTGTATTTCGGCAATATTTCAAAATTTTAATTCTAATCAAATTTTATAATATTCAAATATATTTTAATTAATCATCCAATTGATCACCCATTTTAAATTCTGAATCAAGCATAAAGAAGGTGTTTATGTGTATGTATGTACTGATTTTGATATTTATTAAATTTTATGGTAATTCAAAGTTTGTATGTATGTATAATTAAATTACAGCAATACACGCACTCATTTTTTTATTACTTTATACATACATATACATACTTTTATTAATTAATTTAACTTCTTCTCCAAATATTTTGTATTTGATTTTTTTATCCAACATTTCCAAATTAATATTAATATAGAAATTAAAATTAAATAAAAAATAGTTAAAACAATCACAATAAAATCATAAGAATTAGCAGTAAAATAATTCATTTGTAGTGATTTTAATTTTAGATAATCGGAATTCGGATGACGTAAAATATATTCAATCCACCAAATAGCAGTTTCTAACGGTTTCATAGGAGTATCACGGAATTGTTTCGACATCAGTTTAATGTTCTTAGCATACTTGTCATTTTCCAAGACTTCTCTTATACCATACTCAAATGTTTGCTTTGTTAAATTAAAAAATTCCACTTGAACTGCAATTCCTCTTTGTACAGCATCTTTAGCATTCTAAAATATAAATTATATTAATAATTTAATACTATGCATATAGTAGTTATTTATATTATCATTAATTATATACTTTGACTTGATCAGAAAATAATGATAATCCCAGAAATGGAACTCCATGCCAAATAGATTCTTGTATACTTAATCCGCCACAGTGTGTTATAAACAGCTTTGTATTTGGATGTGCTAAAATTGAGTTAAGGAAAATTTAATCAATTTCAAGTCTTTTTGAGAAAATAAAGGCTGAAATTTCCAGTTAAATGAATAACTTACCCAATATATCACGTTGTGGAAAAAATCTTTTAATTAAAAGATTTTTCGGCATATTTAATTTTATTTTTGTTTCATCAAATTTTAGCATAAAATTATAATCAGGAAAATTTTTTATAACTGTAAAGAAAATGTCAATGTATTCGTCGGAAATATCCTCCGGTCGCACATTTGTGCCCAATGAAAATAATATTGCACCCTTTTTGCCTGAAGTTATAAAGTTTTCTAAATTTTTTGGCAAAGGTTTAACATCTGTTATTTGAAGACCTCCAACTTCAATTACATTCGGTGGTATTGGTTGTGCTGAAGTTACTGACGGATGAGTATTTACCAATGAAATCATCACACTCTTTTCTAAATCTCCAATAAATTTGATATCTTTTAGAAAATGCTTGCTTCTTGCTACTTGATCAAGATCCCGGTAAAATATGTAACGTCTATAACTTTAATGATATATATTTAAATATAATAATATAATGAAATACATTCTATGCTCAAAATTTAGTAAAAATATATCAGCTAAAATTTTAAAAGAAAAAGTTAAATAATGGATATATGATATTTGAGAATGCAGAATATATTAAACACTCTCTTGAAAAAATACTCAAATTATACCTATACATATTTATATATGTACATATATAAAAATTATAAACTTAACTTACAAAGCCTCAAATAGGTACAAAAAATTATTATAAAATCTGTCAAATATATTATGGACTGGATTCAATGAAGCGCCAAAATAACTAATGTAACCAGCATAATTATGATTTCCATTAAATCTGTTACCAAATGAAAGAACTGGAAACGGTGATATAGCAATTAATGGTGGATAATTAAAATATTCTAGTAGTCCCAAAAGGCAAGGTCCACATACAAAATCATATAAAACTAAATCAAATTTAAAACTACGATCATAAGTGCTTATAAATTTATTGAATTCTTTTGAATTTAGGGTTGCTTCGCAATTTTTAATACAATAGGCATGAAACTCAATAGGATTTTTATATGCAGGTAAGTTAAAAAAATCTTTTATTTGAACAATTTCGTTAATCCCACTGTAAACTTCTTCAACAGTAAAATACGTCACATTATTTATGATTTCATTTGAATCTTTAGGTAAATCCGAAATTATAATTGTAAGATTATGACCTCGTTCAGCTAAACCCTTTACTAATACATTATTCCTGTAAAAGAAAATAATAAGTCAAAAAATAAGCAAGATTTAATTTTTTTTATTAATAAATATTATTAATTAAATTAAATTGTGTATATGAATATTAAATTACCAAATTGAATGACTTGGTGAAGCAACGTTCATGAAACCCAAAATATTTGCTGCACTATTGAAATTAATTAAAATAACTGTAATTATGAATGTAAGGAAAAGTTTCATTTTGATCTTCTTTGAAAATAGTCTAATTATGTTTTAAATCAGACGAAATTTATATTAAAACATGAAATTCACAAAATTTGAGATAAAAAAAATCTTATCTAAAACAAACAATTTCTTAGATTTTGTGAAAAAAAGTATTAAGATATTATTTTCAAATTTTTATGTATATGCGCTATTTATGCGTATGTTCACACATACATATTTTTCTACATAATATAACATCCTCAAAAGTTTCGTTTTAAAGATTTTCAGCTCATATTTAACAAAACTATATTTTATATTATTGAAGAATTAACTTGTATTCAATATGGCTAAGATACATCAGTACTTAATTAACATATTTGAACTTCAGCGAAAAGTGACCAAATATTTTGGTAAACATTCTGTCATTATTGTCTGTTTCAGAATTGTCATCCATACCTATGTGTACATGTACACGCGAAAGAGGCAAATTCAAACACGTTTGAACATAAGCTATTATTTATATGAAGTTATAAGTATTAATTTATATGCAGTAAAAATCTGGTAGCTATTTTTCTCAACAGACTTTAGCTCGAAAATGAGCATTTATGTATCGCCCTCCCTTCCCATACAATGTTTTGCTGAAAATTGATCAAAGAATCATCTCTGAAATTATTTGCCACCTTATGCGAAACACCCTACAGAACGGGGATATATTATTCTATATTGGCACAACTCATAGCTCATAAAACTAGGCCAAAAATAACAATATGGTTATGTAATTCCGCTTGATAGAAAAAAAATTGTTGTTTTTTTGTCTGTATTCATTATTTTTAATTAAACTTTCATAATTCGAAAATTGACATATGTATGTATACTTTTAGGCAAAACTGGCTGGAACTGGATATTTGAAAAAACCTTATTTTTTTAAAAGAAGCTCAATCTATATATACAATTATATTTTCAAGCCATCAAGACACATGATACACTGAATGAATATTTTGAAAGTATTAAGGGCCTGAGAAGAAGTAACTGAGTAACTATCATATACATATTTATAAAATGCAATTTTCGAGTGAGAAGAATTATTCCGTACCTGAAATGTATATAAAGTTTATTCACTTTGTATTTGAAGGCGAGACATTCAGTTGATAATTTAAGAAAAAATGCAAAAATCCAGGTGAAAAAATGAGTAATCTTATTGGAAAAATAAAATATATCCATTAGAAAAACGGAGAATTCTGATTTTAAAGTGAATAAAAATTGTGATGAAAAAACGAGATACGCGATTAAGCTATTACTCTCTTTATAAACACCTTAATATGTGTCAATGGTTCACATCACAAGTCTATTTTTTATTTAATGTATAATAATATAATTTAATAATAAGAAAATATAATTATATGTAACTTTGAAAACATTTTGTATTTAATTTAAGAAATTCATGTATTTTATTCAATAATTTTATTTACTTATTAATTTAAAGAATAACAGTGTGACATTTTTTGATTTGATTTTTAATTTCCTCAAGAATTTTATAAAAATTGTAGTGCTACCCAATAGTTAATTTACTTAATTTCTGTTATTTGTATATTAATATTCATATCATATGGGTCTTATGATAAAACATATAGATATATACATACATATATACAAACATATATGTAAAAACGTAATAAATTATTTAAACATTTCGAACAGCAATCTTAATTGACTCTTTATGTTTTTGATAGGTTCAAAATAATTTAGTAAAATAAATATTTATTTTTGATTGGATAATAGTGATACCTTAAATTAAAATTAATTTACAAGTATTTTCTCTTTAATTTAATTTACAGGCATTTAATTATTTTAAGTTTTAAAATATTTAAATATTTTAAAATAGTTTATTTAAATTATGAAGGCAAAATTTGTTGAAAAAACTTATTTAGAAAATAACTGGTTCATGTTGTGGTGAGCTACGGCAAATTTAAATTGTTAAACACCCTCTCCTCTGTTAGAATTACAAAAAACCCAGTTTTCATTTGAAGTTTTACAAATTTATTGATTTACTTCATGGAAAATAAATATTTTTTATTTATTATAATATCACATCATATTTTGTTTAATTTAATTTCTTTTTTTTCTGCGTATTAGCTGATGTATTTGTTTTTTTGCAAAGACAAGCCCATATAACTGCCAAAAATATAACTAAAATAACCTGTAGAACTATCAAAATGAGTGTAAAAAAATCAAGTGAGTTTGCTGTTATAAAGTTCATTTTCAATGATTTTGGTTTTAAATGTTCCGGATTTGGATTCCGTAAAACATATTCGATCCACCAAATAGTATTATCCAATGGTTTTAATGGACGATCCCGAAATCTTTTAGACATTAATTTGATATTATTAGAATATTTGGTGTTTTCCAAAATTTCTTTTAAATTATTTTCAAGATTCTTTACAGATAAGGAACGATAATCTATTTGTAAAGCAATCTCTTTTTGGACAGCATCTCTTATGTTCTACAAATAAAAAAAAAACATTTCACTTGTGATATTTTGTGCTTTTGAGCGTCTATTAATAACGGTATTAAAATAATACTTACTCTTATTTGGTCACCAAATAATGCTAATCCAAGTATTGGAACACCATACCATATTGATTCTTGGGTACTTAAACCGCCGCAATGACTTATGAAAACTTTTGTATTTGGATGTGCTGAAATTAAAAATTATAGTTCATAAATGAAGTAATTTAAAATTTAACATTTATTTAAATACTAATGTACGGTATGTAAATAATATGTACATAATATATAATTTTTGTGTGCGAATATGTAGCAAAATACAAAGTACATAATATGTCGTAATTAATTGTTAAATAGAATAAGCTTACGGAAATAAATGAATGGGCGTTTGTGTTTCATGTATGTACAATAAGTAAATATGTACATATGCAAGTAAAAAGTTCATCATACATAAAAAATATTACGTCGCATAATCTATTTATATACATTATGTAATATTCTTTTGTTATTTTATTATTTTTGACTGGAATCTTATTCAGCATTATAATTACATTCTAATAATGCCGCATCATCATGATAATTTTATAAAAATATAAACAAATCCATATACACTTAAAGGCAAAAGTCTACGTACACTTGAAGCGAAGTTTGTTAAATATTGTTGTATAGTTTCAAAATTATATAAGATGGATTCAAATTTAATAGATAAATTATAATATACATATGTATGTATGTGTTTATAATATTTCCACACAATTTTTTCTTTATTTAAAAAAAAATGTTTTATTAATAAATTTTCAATTTCGTATGAAAAAAGTTGCATCAATAATCTACGGAATGGTTACAAAAAGGAATATTTTTGAACAAGTATTGAAACAAATTAGTAACATGTAGCTGTTTCATTATATGCTAATACGCCTGGCTGGATTCATTGTATAAATTTTTATGTAGCCTCGTTTTCTAAAAAAGTCTTTAGCACTTATTTGCACCAAAAATTGTTCAAGAAACGATCGACCCTCCTTAAAATCAAAATTTTTAATTTAGAATTAGTTTTATTGAGTACATATACATATATACATATACATAGCTACTATATGCTTCAGATGAGGGCTTTCTTAATAAATAACTTCTTAACTTATTCCATAAGCGTAATTTTTGAGTACTCATATTTTCGAATTATCGTTTGAAACATACAAAAAATTATTTTTTTTTTTCATCATAGTTTCAAAAAAATCAATATTGAATAAGTTTCTCCGAGTGTACGTAGAATTTTTCTGTTAACTGTTTAAGTGTACATGCATTCAAAATCATATATGTACATATGTACACACATATAGTATCTACAAAATCTTCCTAAAATATAATTATATAGCGTTAAATTATCGAATATATCATTCTTATTGAAATTTAAAAAAAAATCTTAAAATTAAATTAAAAATCTAAAAAAATTCTTCTCGATTAATTTTTTGTACTAAATTTTTTTATTGTCTCATGAATCATTTAATAATTAGAAATTTTAATATACATACATGTATATACACACATGTATATGTAGGTACATATTATATATAAATTTATATGTTTTATTTTGACGGTTATTGAATGCTTGCTACTGGGTCATTCAGAATAACTCGAGCTATTGAAGTATGTACGTACGTGAAAACAAGCTTTATCTTCATATTGAGCATATAAGCATATAAAAAATATAAATATGTCCATACATAAGTATGTACTTGTGCGCAAATGATAAAAGAACCTCTTATCACTTATCAGCTAGTTATGTACATATATAAAACTGAAATAAAACTTTAGTGCTCTCTGCAAACACTTTAAATATCGCACTATCTATTTACTATAACGCACGGAATTATTTATATTTACTTATTTTAACTATAGTAAAACGTTTATTATTATAAATTAATTAATTACCTAATATATCACGTTGAGGAAAGAATTTTTTTATAAGAAGATTTTTTGGTATTTCATTTTTTATTTTGTCTGCATCAAATTTCCACAAAAAATTATATTCCGGAAACTTTTTCATTATTGTTAAAAATATTTCTATATTTTCATCTGAATAATCTTGCGGGCGAACATTTGTTCCTAATGAGAAAAATATTGCACCTTTTTTCGCTGAACTTATAAATGTTTCTATATCTTTAGGTAACGGTTCTGGATCAGTTAATTGTAAGCCACCTATTTCAATTACATTCGGTGGTAACGATTCAGCAGGTGTTATTGACGGATGTGAATTCACTAGTGATAAAGTCACATATTTCTCTAAGTCTCGAACTAATTTCATATCTTTTGGAAAATATTTTTCTCTAACAATTTGGTCCAGATTAGGATAGAACACATACCATTTATATCTAAATTTTTTCAATAGAAGATAAAAAAAAAATCATTTTATTTATAGTTAAAAAAAGTCATAATAACTTACATTGCTTCAAAGAAGTATAAAAAATTATTATATAATCTATCCGAAATACTGTTAACTGGATCAATTAAAGCACTGTGATAGGTAATATAACCGGGATGGTCATGACCACCAGCAAAACTATTACCAAACGAAGGAAATGGAAATGCTGAAATCCCAACTAATGGCGGGTAATTAAAATATTCCAATAATCCTAATAAACACGGACCGCAAGTAAAATCATATAAAATTATATCAAATTTAAACTTTCTATCATAAGTTTTCATAAACTTAACAAATCCATTTGAATTCATTGTTGCTTTACAATTACTTGCACAATATGAACAAAATTCTATTCCCATTTTTAAAGGATTAATATCAAATAATTCCTTTAAGTCTACTTCTTCATAAACTCCAGCGTAGACATCCTCTACACTGAAATATGAAACATTTTTTAAAATATCTTTTGGATTTCTAGGTAAATCAGTAATTATAACTGTAACATTGTGTCCTCTTTCAGCTAAACCTTTTACTAATACATTATTCCTGTAATGTTGTTTGATTATTAAAATAAAATATTAGAATTTTATTAAAATTTCTTTATTTAGTAAGCACATTTATTAATTTATTACCAAATTGAATGACTTGGTGATGCTACATTCATTAATCCCAAAATATTGGCTGCTGAACTATAATGGATCAATAAAACTATTAGTAAAGGTAATTTCATCTTAACTAAAATTTCAATGTTATTTCCTTGAACAATAAATCTATACTAATGAAAAGCTCAGTGATTTAAACTATTTTAATTTTGAACATAGAATTTAAACATACATTATACATTAGTGTGTATATATACTGTTTCTAGATATTATTGTATTGTCGTCGTTTAAAAAAGCTTGATATAAATTCTTGTTGTTAGCAATAATAATTTATATTAATTTACTTCCCCAAATTAATCAGTGGCGTGGACGTGCAATACCTAATACTCTTTAGATTTCAAACTTTCATAACATAAAGATAATCATATTAAAGTATGAAAGTTTTATGAGTTTACTTTTATAAATACAACAGATATAAATTTTTTTTCAAATTTTAATTAATAAAATGTTCACGAAGTACTTGAATATACATATTATGTATAATATACGTGAATGGCTGTGCATGTAGAAAATTTAAATTTTTCAAAAACTTTAAACAATTTAAACTATGTATGTATAATCATAAAACTAAAAAATGTTAACTTAAATTGATTCTTATAGATTGTCGCAAAGTATGTAAGAAGATTTGTTAAACCATTTTGTTCTATGTAATGTTTCGATTCCTCCAATATTTTTTAAAACGCAAACGAGAGAATATTTGTTAATTTAAAAATCAAAACTTGAACACTAAATTTTGATATCAAAATATAAACCATCACCATATAAACCATATATTTCTTTAAATAACCCGTTTTGGTTGGGAGTATCATACGATTGGATTATAATGCGATATAAGTGTTTGTATAAAGGAAGAATACTTTTTTAACCAAAATGAAATTTTTTATATACTTACCAATTATATTATAAAATTTTTTATATACCTCCTTTTCAATTATTTCAGAAATATGTAAATAGTTTACAATTCTGTATTATCAAATTCTGTATTATGTAAATTCAATGCCATTTCTGTATAACATAGATTAATTTAATGCAGCGCACATAGACAGCGTTTATTTAAAATTGAAATTCTAGCAATATTTAAATAATGCTTTTATTAAGTTGCAATATATTTGTTAAGTTTTATTAAGTCAAACATTCATTTATATTCTCTTAAATACATGGTGAAGTATTGGGATTCTATTTAGCAGCATTGAGACTTTCAGGACCTTTGAATTTTCCACTTCAAAAGTGAAACTAATCGTATAGTCAATAAAAAATTTCTTTTCATATTGATTCATCCGGCTTACTTTTCACATAGGATTTTATTTACTAGTTTTGACAGCCTAGTATTTGGGCGAATCCGACAATTATAGTTTTAAATACTTAAGATAAACATTCGACAAAAATGTCCTACGCTATAAAAAATTTCATATAGGTATTCCACAATTTCTAACATAGTAAAATATAAAAGACTATTAATTCTTCATTATTTTTATATTAAATTAATAAGACTTTAACTGATTTTTCTTTTTATTACATAATACTAAACATATCTATATGTATTTCTACATAAAACTTAACACAATTTTCACTGTATTACTTTATTTTAATTTTTTTTTTATTCCTTTTTACACCATTATTGATTTGATATACAAAATATTCATACAAATTTTTAATATCTTAAAATTTCGATATATTGGAAATATAGATAATTTCAAATAAATATTCAAATAAAATTAAAGAAACTGATAAATTAAAAATTTTCTATTTATGATGTAATAATTTAATCTTGTGAATTTAAATAGTAAAACAATTAGGTATAATAATCAAGTTTTAATCAAACTATTATTTCAATAAATGTAATTTAATTTCTTTAATATTTAACAAAATGGTACTATGCTGGACTAAGCATAGATAAAATATTCTCAGAATCTTCTACTCGGATTTTCTTTCGTAATAAGCATTTTCTGCAAAAAATTATGGTCTGGTTTATCAATAGTGCTTAAAAAAAAAACAAATAAAATAAACTGAAATAGAACAGTTCTTATAAAACAATTTTATACACTTTTGAATTTAACAATTTAATTTAAATTTGAGGTAAGATAAAATAAATTTGATATCATTTTGCAGTAATTTCTTCTAATTTTTAACAATTCAATAAAGTAATAATGTTAAAAATTAAATACGGGGAACAATGTTAAGCAATATTTCTTTTTATAAGTAGTATGTACATATGCACGTAAATATTATTTCTATAATATTTGAATGAAATAAAATTTTAGCTTTACGTATTCCCTGACATCCAAAACGCAGTATAAATGTAGCACCACATTGTACCTGCGACCCAATACTATAGAATAAAAAATTTACACAATGTATAAATTGCTTAAATTATACAAATTGCCAAAAATGGTCTAAACAAACAGCGTAGTGAAAAAGTCAAGAATACAATACAGCCGTTTTAAAGATTTATACTGTATAAAAAAATATTAATACTACAGCTTAACTGTAATAAAACTTTTTTCACTGCATTTTGGACGTCACGAATACTATTGCTCTGCAACATACAATTATTGTACATATTTTACAAAAAGAAAAATTTAACCAACAGATTTTGCAATCCTCCAAAAGTATTCACAAAATGTGAATTATATAATTAAATTACATTCATTAAACTAACGTCTCCTTTTTTTTTTGTAAAAAATCGTTTACATTATATTTTATTTTGATAGTAATTAATTTTATAAATTTACATAATTAAAAGTACATACAATAAAATTCTCTTTTGTTTAGAAAATGAAAAAAGTTATAAAAATACGATCACAAAGTAACATAGATGTATGTAAATAATATTGCTATTTATAAAACGTTCTCTTCCTTTTTTTTAATTAAATATCAAACGAAAAACTATAATAAAACATGCAAAACAAAAACAAATGTGCGCAAAGCTGTAAAAAAATATCTATGTAAACATACATACATTCATATAAATATATATGTATATAAAAATGAAGTTATAGCCATATAAATATATATATGCATGTATATGTGTACAATCGTTATTCTTTAATTAATCTCTTAATGAATACTCGAATAAACTTAAATTTGAAATTTTAGTAAAAAATATTTAATCTTTCCTTTTTTCATAATGGCTTAAAAATTACATCAAAAAAGGATAATTAACATATTTATACTAGATCGAACAATCCAACTGTTCAATTTTTTTTTAAGTCAGTATTTTTGAAAATATTTCATTATTATTTTTATAGTATAATTTATGGTATATAATATATATGACGTAATAATATAAGTAAATTTTAATTAACTTTACATTTGTGTTTTATTCTATTGCGGTATATGGCAAACTGCTATGCTTAGGTTTTGTTTTATTTATAAATATTTTAATAGCGCCATTAAAATCTGCACTAACTAGTACGTATCCACAACCTTTTTTCCTTTGCTCTACTAGAGGATCAGCTTTTATATTTGGAAGCTAATCAAAAAATAGGAGATATGTATGAACTTATTGAAGTAAAAAATTAATATATAAAAAATTACGTTATCATTTGAAATTTCATCATCTGGTTCTGGTTTTATAACAGCTTCCGGATGAGGAGCGAAAATAGAACAGGTAACTTGGGCATTATGAGCTTTTATACCTTCCCAAAAATCACTTCGATCTCTTCGTACCTATTACAATAAATAATTTCATATTATTACTTATTTTTAATTAAATTTTTGAAATTGATTGATAAAATTTACCGAACTTAATTTAGCGCAATCATGATTTGTTTTCCATATATAAATACATTGATTTTCAGAACCAGCGACAATGTATTTACCGTCGTGACTAAATGATGCTTTTATTTGAGAAGAAACATTTAAATAACCTTTATATTTGCAACTCAAATTTAAATCTCTTAAATCATATAAGCGTATTCTACTATCATTAGATGTAACTAAAATTTTGTCTTCACCTGGCATTGGTTCAATACCACTAATTTTTCGGCCTATACGATTTTTACCCCTTGTTGAACGCACATTTATTTGTGTGTGATACTTTAATTGATCAGTATTATAAAAAATACAACGGCCGTCATATGTTCCAACTACAGCAAATTGCCCATTTTGACAGAAATTTGCTGCTGTTATTAGCTTTATTTGACCGTCAACTTCATTCCAAAGCGCCACTTTTTTATCTGGAATGTTCCACAGCCGAAGTTTGCCATCTAAACTACCACTAAGAAAATAACGATCATCACGTGGATGAAATGCTATCGCGGTTACAAAATCGATGTGTTGAAAACAACATAAACATTCTTTGCGTGAAATATGCCACAATCGCACTGTTTTATCCATTGAACTCGATAAAATAAAATAATTTTTTGACCAAGAAACATCTAACAAATCGGACGTATGCCCAATATATGAACAAAAAGCTTTCGGCATGAAAGGACCTGTTGTTTTATCAGCTGCAGTTGCAGCCATCGCATTTGCAGCTTCCAAATCTATTGATAATTGTGATACTAAAGATTCTTGACTCGGAGTTGGAGAAGACTTCTGATCTGTACTGTATTTCGTACGCATATCCTACGAAAAAACCGATAGTATACTCTATATATTCACTAAAATATACTTACCTGAAAAAATGGATATGCATCTTTAAGCACCCATATACGTAGAATCTTATCCTGACCAGCAGTAGCCAATAAACGAGCACAAGAACTAAATTTCATGCACCAAACAGCACCAGTATGTTCGCCGGAGAGATCCTTGATAAATAGTTGTTTTTTTTTTAATTTATAATCATAAATTCAAATAATTCTTTTTTGCTGAAATTTAAATAAAAACTTACTTGAACATGTTGCAGTTTAGCGAATTCATAGGGTCCTTTATTTGAGCTAGAAGCTTTAATTTTGATATTTAACTCAGGATTTACCACATCCACTATATCAGCAACATCCTCCTTGTGTCTAGCGTGAGAGACTTCAGAAGCTAAAGATTTTGCTTTATCTACTGTTTTCCGCACAGTTGATCCAAAGAACCTCTTAATTTTCTGTGTTCTTTTTTTTAACCTACCATTTATATCTTCCGTCTCCAGTTCTTCCTCTTCGCCTGGCTGAACTTCTACATTAGGTGGTATTCCAATTATACTTTCCTCATCAGATTCTTTTTGGTTAACCGGCAAATGACCGTACAATTTATGAATATGGAGAGATAGGGGGTTCCAACCGTCAGGTGTCGGTGGAGGTCGAATGGAAGATAAAGGCATATTTTCACCGGTATCTAAATTTTTTACAGGAACTTGATCTAATATTTCCTTGTCAGTCAATTGCTTGCCAGAGTCTGTTCTAGTACGTACGTAAATATTCATTTGCTTTAGTACATCCTCATCACCAGCAGATTTTCGTCGTTGTTCATTTGCTGAACTTCCTTTCTGAACTATTTGCGAATTGTATCTAAAATAAAATAATAATATAACTAATAATAACTTCCAGTTGCAGTAAATTTTTAAAGTTCATTAAACAACTTATATCTGATCTAAATACGCTAAAAGTATTTAATAAAGCTTTAATAAAGCTTAAATACTTTACCTGCTCCCACTTCCTAAGCTATTTGAACCAGTGCCAGCTAATTTTTGTCTTGGAGTGTCTTCATTCAAAAGTTTTTCAATACGCTCAATTTCTTCTTGAGAGGGACCTTCAGCTTTGTTAGCGACATCATCCATTGGTTGAACAACATAAACCCCTTGACTAACTTTATATAAATTAAGGCCTTGAGTAGGGTCGATCGAACTGGAAGATGCAATTAAGAATTTCAGTAACATTTAAAAAAATTATTTTCATAAAAACTTACAAATATCGCACTCGGCCGGGAGCTGAATTACTCTTTGCACTATTTGAAGGGCTCGGCTTTGAATATACGGAAGTTGATGAATTACCCAATGAGTGAGATATTCGATTTATGGAGCCGCTACCAATTGAAGAATTTACCTCGACAACAGCAGTAGAATTAGGCCAATTAGTTGTAGAAGAAGTAGTGGTGGTTACAGCAAAATTCCCAACATTTGAACTGGATGGTTGTTGTTGAAGTAAAGCTTGGAATTCTTTTGATTGGTTTTCTGCCACCTGACACCAAGTCTTTTCTAATTCTTTAACAAGATCCCCACATTTTTTACTGATGCTTATACTATGTAACGATATCCTATCATCTTTCTCTATGGGAGGTAACTTAAAACCTTCATTCATGTTAAACTGTTCTGAAGAGCTACTAGATATTTTTCTTGGCTTTTTCTTCTTCCTTGGTGGAGCTATAGGACCGCTTGAAGTAATGCTATCGGTTGTTTTTGAATGTGCCAGCTTTGTACTTGCAATTACGTCCGGTTCTTGTAAAACAATTTTATTGTTACTGTTTGAAATACTTTCACAAACACCACTATTGCTACTATTACTTGAGCCCTCTGGCGAAGTTTTAATCGTACTTTGTTCTTTAACACTTTTGCTTTGTTGACTCAATAATTGTAAATTACTATCTTTGTTAGATATTATTTCTTTTTCAGAATTAGGAACCGCAGATACAATATTTGACGTAGTACTAGAACCAGTAACTGGCTTTGAAGATGTTGTTTGCGTTACACTCAACGAATTTCCTAATAGAGAACTGTGAGCGGATTCCCGATCAATGCTTAACCCTAAAAATGAAAAATGAAAACAAAATATAATTGCAAAAGTAAATTATTCTATTATATTTTATACCTGATGGATCAATACTCCCAGCTAAAATTTTACCAACTCTCCCTAAAGAAGTCATACTTTGAATACTAAGCGTATCATTTTCAATTATACGAAACGGATGAGTCGGTCTGTTCGTATATACTCCATCCGAGGAACTATTCTATTTATGGTTCATTTTTTTTATAAAAAAAAATATATAAAAAAAGAGCTTGGTAAAAACATATATAGATACATATTTAGTTATTTATTGTGTACAAGTACTTGCAAAATAAATTGTTGAATATTTTTATATGTCTCCATATAAACACAGAGTAAATTTTAATTTAAATTATTAAAACAAGAAATAATAGTTAATATTTGCTGTCACACAAATATTTTTATATAAGTTTTCCATTATCATATAAAACTGAATTTCTGCCTCTGGCATAATATATTGTTTTATTTTATAACAGCTTTAAAAACAAAAATACTATGAGTTCAATATAAATACATATGTGATTTTAAGAAAGTGAAGTAACTCATAAGTCATACTGGTTTCAAAATAGTGAATGAGATGAGAGAAAGAGATGAGTTTCGTTTAAATTTATTATGAATGAAAATAAGAGTAAATTTTGAATAAGCTTGTATGCACTATAAATAATTTTATCTTTTATTTTTTTTTCTTTGTATTTTTGTTTAAATATTCTCTGCAACATTAAAATTAACGCCACAAATATGGTTAGAGGAACTCTAATTTGAAATTATATAAAGCAACTTATAAATTTTAAAACCAATTATATAACAAAAAAGTAAGCAATACCTGCGAATCAGGTGTCAGCGTATTTCCAAGATTTTCATCTTCATCATTTTGCATGCTATTACGAAGATCACGAAAGCGTTGTCTACCAGACTACAACAAAAAATAATTTTTGAAATCATTGAAAATGTGCACTTTAAAAAGCTCTTACTTAATAATTTTTTGTTTTTTATTATAAACTAATGTATTATAAAAAAAAATTAAAAGGACTGCCTTTGAGTTTAAAAAAAAATCTGTGCAATTATTAAAAATGGTTCTATTAATGTAGGTGTAAAATTTTTAAATACCAATAACTTTTCAAGGTAAAGTTTGATTTTAATATGATCTAGATAATATTGTTGACTTTAACATTACTTTTTTTGGATACATAAACTGCGTAGGAGATATCTTGCGTATTTCAAGCAAGGTAACCAAAAAGTTCGTAAATATGAAGGTTAAACTATTTTTATAGTAAAAACATCTTACTAGTTTTACATTTTAAACTTCTTACAAGTTTTATAACTGACGTTTATGTGACGAATTCAAAGAAATAATAAATATTTACCTATGTACATAATATAATTATAAAATGCAAATAAAATTATTCCGCAAAAACTAACTATAAAAGAATTCGTGTAATTAAATCATTTTAATATTTTTTTTGTCTTTTTTTAAATTTTACCAGTCCCAAGGGTTTTGGTTCCACAAACATATGTTGATCACTAGAATGTCTGATGGATAAATTAGGACTTCGTGTTGTTGGTGTTTTATTAATTATGTCATCTTCGGTAGTTTGTATTCGGATTTCAGGCTCTGGCTTAGATAAAGTATAGTCGTTTCCAGTTACTGAAGGTCTTTGACTTGACCTGTACAATTAAAAACAACTTTGTACATTTTATAATACAATAAAGTGCTAAAGTTTAGAAACCAATGTCATACTACATATTGATAATATATCTTTATTAAAATTTGATACCTTATTGATAGTCTTGTTGTGTCCTCAGCATCAAAATATTCCTCAGAACTACTATCCGAATCAACTTTTGCCATTGTAAGATTTAGTTTTTAATATCTTAACAAGCATTAAAATACACTCATTTTAAAAAAAATAAAAGTTATTATTAATCCTAATGAATTTGAAAATTTTCTGAGTCATTTCACAAAAATATGAGCTGTCAAAAAAAAAAAATTAAATAGAGACTGTCAATGTCACAATGGTTAACAGAACTGCCAACTTTTAACATACAACTGTAAACACAAAAAGCATATTTTCAATTAGCCAACTTTTTATATCTTCGTCTTTTAAAACAATTTTCTGCTACATTCAAACAATTTACAATTATAAGGAAAAAAAGGATACAAATTTATGATCTTAGATAATGTGGATATCACGGAAAGCTTCAACAGCTTAAAACTTCTAAGTTTTAGTGTTGTTTTTATTAAAAAATCTTATACATATGTAGTATTTAATTTTTCAAATTCATTTTTATTCATTACATGTTCCTCACTAAAAATGATATATACGTATTAATACGAGTAATAGCTCAGTGATCAATTAGGGTTAAACTGCATGCAACAATGATAACAAAAAATAGATCACATTTAATTACAGATCACCCATTTAATTAAAAAACCTATATTTACGCTATGTTTTATCTTATTTCTGTCAAAAATGATTGACAAAAATAGAACCGATTTCCATTTTTTCCTTAATTTAAATTTGGATGAAAATGATTGATCTATGATGTTTACAAAATCAATCTTCATCAATCTCAATCATGATTGTCATCTTTCATTGCATGTATCACCGTTTTCTTTCAAAACATATTCTTAAATGTATGTAGTCAAAAAATAGCTCAATTATTTTTTATTCAATTTAATATTTTAAAACTAGGCAGGAGGCTTTTTATTTATTGAAATTTAACTGAATTCAAAAAAAATAATTAAAGAAAATGTTGATAATTTTTCCGAAATACATATAATTGATTTTAGGCGTATGAAAAGAAAAATCTCTTTTATTCGGAATAAAATACTTTTATTTTTGCTAATATATTTCGTCCGCTACATACGCACTTCATCAAAGCTGATTTTCTCCTTAGAATGAAAATCAGAGGGATGAATTATTTTTTAACTTTTTTCTGGTGAAAAGGCTAGAGATTTTATACAAATTATTAAATGACAGAATAAGCTTTTATTATGTTTGTTTTAAAAATCAGAGATATCAGACCAGTGTTGTTAATTTTACTACAATTGTAGTTTTTTACTACATTTTGACATTCCGTACTACTATACTACGCCAAAGCCATTTTTACTACTTTTTTGCATTTATACTAGAAAACGTAGTTGTATTTTTCCTGCATAAACACTTGTACGATTCTATTATTCTATTTATTCTATTTCTTCTTTTATTAATTCATTACAATATTCTGTTTCAAACTTGTGCTTCTTAAAATTAAAAAAGTTAAAAATACATATAATTGTTTTTATAAACGAAATCTGATTTGAAATCAATTTTAAACAAAAAAATATATTTAGGCAGATTGCTTACTTTTTGTTCGGTGTTAATGATAACCTCAAATTACTACGCTCTCGGCACTACTTTTTTTGAGACAAAATGCAATAATATGCATTCTATTTGCAAAAATTCTTTTCACTCTTAAGTATTCTAAAAAATTTTATTTTCAAAGAGGGTTTGCTCAATAGAACAATATAGGAGTATTATACAATATAGGAGTTTATGTCATACAATAATATATAATATTATGAGAGAATATAATACTCTTTGTATATAAGACTATTTATACACGCTGAATAAGGTTTATTAAAAATTTTACATTTCTGAAGGAGAAATAAAAAATTTCGATATCTACATAATTTTTTTCTCTAAATTAAGGCATTTAAGGTCTTTTATTGCACTGGCGTTTGTATTAAACATCGTTGATTGCTTTGCGACATGTTCTATCTCTATATTCCAAATTCTGTATACATACATATGTATGTAAATACAAACGGCGGTAGGCCCGGTATTGTGACTTGTGTAGTTCACAGATGTTAAATGAAATATGTGTTTAAATAGGTTTTTATCACATTTGATAGAAAATGCATAATTATTAATTATTATGTTTTAAAATTATAAATAAAATACAAAAAAAGGTATAAAAATCTTAAATTAAAAGTATTAATTAAGGATCAAAAAATATGGCAAATAAAAGAAAAACTGATGAGATTGTGCCAGCGGAAGAAAGTGATTTACTTCTCATTAGGCCACTGTAAGCACAAAAAGCCTATTTTCAATTATACATAAAATTAATTGAATTTTAAATTGTAATAATAATGAAACTAGGGGTGCTGGACAAGAGGTTGGAAGATCTTGTATAATGCTTGAATTTAAGGGAAAGAAAATAATGTTAGATTGCGGAATTCATCCTGGTCTTTCTGGAATGGATGCGCTTCCATATGTTGATTTGATAGAGGCTGATGAAATTGATTTACTCTTCATATCACAGTATTATTTAAAAAAAAATCAATTATAAGTTATTATATCAGATATTTTTATCAGCTTCCACTTAGATCACTGCGGAGCCCTTCCTTGGTTTTTAATGAAAACTAGTTTCAGGGGTCGTTGCTTCATGACCCATGCAACCAAGGCTATTTACCGCTGGATGTTGTCAGATTATATTAAAATTAGCAATATATCTACTGAACAAATGCTATATACTGAAGCAGACTTAGAGGCAAGTATGGAGAAAATAGAAACAATAAATTTTCATGAAGAACGCGATGTAATGGGTGTAAGATTTTGGGCGTATAATGCTGGTCATGTACTTGGCGCTGCGATGTTTATGATTGAAATTGCGGGGGTAAAAATTTTATATACGGGAGACTTTTCGAGACAAGAGGACAGGCATTTAATGGCAGCAGAAATACCAACAATGAAACCGGACGTATTGATCACAGAATCTACATATGGTACACACATACATGAGAAGAGGGAGGACAGAGAAAATAGGTTTACGTCACTTGTACAAAAAATAGTTACACAAGGTGGTCGTTGTTTAATTCCTGTTTTCGCGTTAGGCAGAGCACAAGAGCTTTTACTCATTTTAGATGAATATTGGAGTCAGAATCCGGAACTTCAAGATATTCCAATATACTACGCCTCTTCTTTGGCCAAAAAATGTATGGCCGTATATCAGACTTATATAAATGCAATGAATGATAAAATAAGACGACAAATTGCGGTTAATAATCCGTTTGTTTTTCGTCATATTTCAAATTTAAAAGTAGGTGCTATTACTAAATGTTATTGTATTACTAGGCTTCTTGTTTACTGTCATTTTGAAAAAATAGGGAATTGACCATTTCGAAGATATAGGACCGTGTGTGGTGATGGCGTCTCCAGGTATGATGCAGAGTGGTCTTTCAAGAGAATTATTCGAAACTTGGTGTACAGACTCTAAGAATGGCGTCATTATAGCAGGTTATTGCGTTGAAGGCACTTTAGCTAAAACAATACTTTCGGAACCCGAAGAAATTACAACATTATCTGGTCAAAAACTTCCTCTTAATATGTCAGTTGATTATATTTCATTTTCGGCTCACACAGATTATCAGCAGACTAGTGAATTTATACGATTATTAAAACCAGCACATGTGGTATTTTAGTTTAGTACCTTACTCTATATCTCTCTTTTTAGTCACTCAAAAAAAAGATTTCGTAAAAATTTTTGAAACTATAATTTATTAAACTTGTTTTTCTAAAATATTGTGAACGAATTTTTATATACATAATATATACTCATAATAATAGTAAAGATACAATTTAATATGAGCATGCAATTGAAAATTATATCAAGGGTGGGTAGAAGAGAGATACAGAATGAGGCTTCGTTTTCAAATTATTTTTCTCAAACATTTTTCACGTGCAAAAAGGTGCTTGTTCATGGTGAGCAAAATGAAATGAGTCGATTGAAATCAGCACTTCAACGAGAGTACGAATCGGATCCTAACACAAATATTTGTTTTCATAACCCCCGTAACACCCATGCTGTAGAGCTTCACTTTAGAGGTGAAAAAACGGCGAAAGTAATGGGAAGTCTTGCTGCAACTAAGCCTGAGCCTGGAAACAAGCTATCCGGTATTTTAGTTAAACGAGGATTTAAATATCATCTATTATCAGCATCAGATATTTCAAGTAATGATATTAATTATAATTTTTGTTCAAATATTTTTTACTAAAAGAATTATAGAATCACAAAATTTTATTTTACTTACTTCTTATTTCAGAATATACTGACATGACTATTTCAATGGTTACTCAACGGCAAAGCATATCATGGACAGGATCGTTAAATACCTTGAAGCTCTTGCTGGATCGCGTAGGAGGACCGGGAACTGTCGAAATTGTAGAGCCTGACAAAAAAATTCGTGCATTTAATTGCATAGACGTGATTGTTGAAGGAAAAATTATTATTATGGAATGGCAAGCAACACCTGTCAACGATATGTTCGCTGATTCCGTACTTTCTTGCATAATGCAAACTGAAATGGGTGGCACAAATTTGAAAGGATCTACAACAGGAGGAAAACCCGACAAAACCCATTTCAAAGAATGTCTAATAGAAACATTTCAAGATATTTTTGGTGAACACTCAGTCCCAAAACTGTTTAAAGGTGATATTTTACCGGTCACAGTCAGTGGGAAGAAAGCTGAAGTTAATCTTGAAACCTTGGTAAAGTTTAATAAGAAAATTTTTAAATTACTTTTTAATTCCTTACATATTTAGGCTGTTACTTGTCCCGATGACGAATCTTTGCGGCAAATAGTAAATACGGCAGTTACAAAGTTATACCAAGCCTTGGTGCATATAACATAATTATTTTAAGATTTTTAATTGATACGATTTTTTGCATAAGAAATTGAAAAATTTAAAATAATTATATTTAGTTTATATTAATGTCATTTGGATGTAATACAATGAAAGCCTATATAAAAAATTTTATATTCAACAAATAAACAATTGTAAAAATATTGAAATTTATCGAAAATTCATTTAAAACAATTCTTTCGTTTTTTGTAAATTATAATTTTTAACAACTGCACAAATCAATTATATTACACAAACAGAATTTTATATTTATAGAGAGCCCGATACATTTAAAAATCTATTCTTCTTCGCTTTTGCTAATTTACAAGAATTCACTGATTGAGCAAACCTTAATGATTTTACAGATTCAACATAGCAGTCTTGCAATGGTGATACATTAATGAACATCAAGGTTTTAGAATTACCGCCTAAACTTGGCATTAGCAAGTGGGTTAGCTTGGAATTTCTATAAGGTATATAATCCTGCTTTTGAAGTAATGCCAAAATTACGTTTGTTAACTCGCTTAGAGAACGATTAATATTTTTCGTTTCTGTCATCCTTATACTTGTCTTTGGACTCTCAGATCCAGCTAAATCCACTAAATTTATAGTTCCAATAGAAATTTCAGATTTTTTCTCATGATTACCAATCAGATCAATCCTTGTCACAGCATGTGAACGAGATGATCTTTCATTACCAACTGTGGCTGCAGTAGCCCGATTTTGTTTAGCAATTATCATTAATTGCTTTAAGTGATAAGCATTTGTTACATGTTCTTCCGTTATATTACTTACATAAATATCGTTTTTGCTGTTTTTTACCATTCGAATTTCCATATCTTTTTGTTCATTACTTAAAAGGTCATACAGTACCTCGTTATATATTTCTAAGAATGTTGCTTTTATTTCATAAACCCATCCAAGTCGTTTATATTGCTCAATAGACTTAAATAGCAAATCAACTGTTCTCGGGATTATTCCTAAAAAATAAAAAAAAATTGTCATAAAGGTGTTTGAAAACTTATCTTGTAATATACTACCTGGATTATCTGAAACTCCATCCATTGTATAAGTTTTTCCACTACCAGTTTGGCCATAAGCAAAAATACATATATTGTATCCATCTAAAGCAGACTGAATTAAAGGTGATACCATTTCAAAGACATCCTCTTGTGTAGATCGAGGATGAAAGACGTGGTCGAAAGTAAACCCATTTGTAGCAATCTTATTTTTTACACTTGAATTTGCAAAATCCAAATTAGTTATTTCTAAAGAACATTCATCTAAATAATTCCAACCACAAAGAAGTTGTTCACTTTCATTTTCAAGTGGCGGTCTTACTCTACAAAATACTCGTATATTACCCCTTAAATCCATAATTGTGTTATGAAGCTCTTTTCTTTCCATGTTGTAGCGGAACAACTGCTCTACATTGATTTCTAATTCATGAGTTAAAAAGTCAACGTTTTCTGCAAGATCTTTATTGCTGCTACGTAGCTCTGTTACTTCTTTTGTTATTAATTCAAGTTGTTTCGAATTAGTTTCGAATTCCTTTTTTATTTGCTCGTAATCTCTAGTGATATCGCCAAGATTTTTTGTTAAGCAATTTATTTTTACTGTTTGTGCATTATTTTGCTGTTGTAAACATTGTAATTGAGTTCTCTCACGATGTAGTTCAGTTTCTAATTCAAAAATTTGATTTTGAGACTCCTCATATTTCTCCGGCAGACTGTCTAAATTACCAAGCTGTTCTTTTGCAGTTTCGAATTTTTCTTTAAGAACTTAAATTCAAAATGAAAGTTGCAACTTCAATTGTTTATAAATAAAAAAAATTTATTACCTTTATGTTTTTCCAATAAATCTGCAAATCGAGCTTTATAATCATAAGCTGGGATTTTTTTATTTAAAGTTACAACAGTTGTTGATTTATTTGGGGCTTTATTTGTTAATGATGTACTACTGGTCTTGTTTAATATAGCTTTTTTGTTTGTTAGTGAATTCATTTTTTCGTTTTTGGTTTTTGACATGTTTGAAATGTTAACAAGCTTCTTTGTAGCAGCTGTATTTATGGTTCCAAAGCGTGCAACTTTCGCTGGAATGTCAGGTAAAACTTGTTCATGCCTTTTGAGGGGTCTTGATATGTCTTTAATATCTCGAAGATCGCAGACAGAACGACTCCTCCTTAATCTTATACGTTCTGAAGCATTCTTCTTCGGAAGCTCGGGAGATCCCGCCCTTAAAGCTTTTAAAATATTTGGAAGTAAATTTAAATATTCAAATTAAAAGTACTGGGATCATTTACCTTTTGTATTTACTCTTTGATTTAAATTAGTCAAGTCTCTGCTTAGAGGCAAACATTCTGAAAATTGTTTTAAAATCACTGAATTTGATTTTAACCTGTCCGTCGGTAAAATTGGTTTTGTACTTAGAGTTGTAGGCTTCTTCAACCCAGATGGTTTAGGTAATTTGGATTCCATTTCACGCAGTCCTTTAATAAAATATTTCAATATTTTTTTTTAACAATTTGTTCCAATAAACAATTATTATTAGGCCAAAATTAATAATCTTATAATTTGAACCAAACGTTACATACAAACTCTTTTCAAATATAATTCTTTTGCTTTTGACTTTATTTACAACCCAACAAATAAGTACCTTTTTTGGTTTGTTGGGATTTAAATTTCAAATTAAAAAATTATACGGTTTTTATTTGACATTAAGCTATGTTGCAGCGGAAAACTAATGAACTAAATTTGCATATTTATATTAATTAAAAGTCTTTTTATAATTGTATACTGGGGAATACCTTAAAAACTAAGAAGCTAATTTGGCGAAAAAAGCAGTTGTTTTCAGAAATAGTGAATCTAAAATTGTAAATACAATATCATTGACACTATTTTGAAGCAAAAATTTCAAAAACTAAATCGTGTTGTTATAAAATAAATTTACGTCCAAATATCGATTTAAAAAAGATATTTTTGGTATCATCAAAAAACTTCGTAACAGCACATACCATCTACTTATTTGCGGTGTTGAGATCTTTGGTACAGCTAATTGGTGTAAATTGTGCTAGATTAGACAAAATACAATGCTATATTATGCCAAATTTCAAAAACTTGATAATTTAAAAATTTTAGCTAAAAATAAAAAAATATTTTTATTATTTAAATTTTAACCTGTAGATGTGTAATAAATTTGAATCAGTGCCAGTGGTTAAATAAAATAGATGTGATTCAACATTCACACAGTGGAAGGTGTCTATAAAAATGAAACGTTTAGAACCTTTTTTCAAAAATTTCTTAGAACGGTGTTATGTCAAAAATGTACTTGGCATCTTTTAAAAACTCAATGCAAAACTAAGATTGACTTAAAATCAATCTTAGTTTTGCATTGAGCATTATCTCAAATTTGGCATTAAAAATGCTAATATTTCAACTAAATATATTGGTTTGGATACTAACCCAGCATTTACACGTACAAGTTACTTGCAAGAAAGTTGCAATACATACAAAAATTTTACTAACACATTGAAATATTTCTACTTGCTTGTTTACTTGCAGTTCAACTTGCAAGAAAATTTTGCTGCCAGTAATTTGAGCAAGTAATTTGACATATTGAGAAATTCACAAAAAAAAATTTGTTGTTTTGATTTTTTTTTTTTTAATTTAAAATTTTTGAATTTTGTTTTGAAAAAATTAAACTTAGCAAACTTATGGTTTCTAAAATTTATAAACAATTATATATATTGCTAGTTGTTTTCTTCTCAAAGGAATTTTCAAAAATTAACTTGCTAAACGCCTACGTCATAATAGCAAGTAATTTGACATTTCGAAAAACTAATTGACAATTAATATTATACAAACTTGCGTGCAAGTAACTTGTATGTGTAAATGCTGGGTAAGGTTTGCGCAAGAAAATTGAACGCACGTAACGAAAATTCAAAAGTATTTTTATTTACTTTAAAAAAAATTTTACTGCTGTATTTACTTATAGATTACTTTTGATCAGAAATTTTACCCATGTTTTTAAGAACAATATTGTTACAGCATCCTTTATAAAGTGGAAAAATTTCAAAAGTACAATGTTTTTCACTTGTGGCCCGTGGGAGAAAGTTATTGTTCGATTGAAGCAGTTAATTTAGATTTTTTTACTATAAGCACTGGAAACATTGTTATTATGTTGAAATGGCAGCACATTTAAAATCATGGCGGCTTATGTCAATCACATAATTTCGTCATATTTGATATTACTCTTAGTTTTGTCTTTTGTTTGGTTTGTGTGATGTAGAAATTAAACTTCCATACAAATTTGGAGTGTAAGTTAAGTTAAGCAATTAAATGTAATTCAATGGAAGTTGCAAAGAATTTTTTTTTAAATTCGCAAAATTTAATTTAAGTATTAAATTTGTTAAATTATAATTGTAACTCATTACATCAGCTATGGATAGTTATACATCAAGCAGTAATATTTGTCCTACACACTCAAAAACCATAATACACATTGATATGGATTGTTTTTATGCTCAAGTTGAAGAAATAAAAGATCCTTCTTTGAAAAATAAACCTTTAGGAGTTCAGCAAAAAAATATAGTTGTTACTTCTAATTATAAAGCCAGAAGCTATGGAATAACAAAATTAATGCTTGTTGATGAAGCCAAAAAACTATGTCCTGATTTAATATTAGTGCCTGGAGAGGATCTTACACCATACCGACAGATGTCTGCAAAAATTTTTGAAATTTTACATAAATTTACACCGTTGGTTGAAAAACTGGGATTAGATGAAAACTTTTTAGATGTGACTAACATTGTTTCAGAACGTCTTAATGGAAATTTCAGTGATGTTGTTTTTGAAGTAAAAGGTTGCGTTTATCCACCGAATTTCAGTTTAGACGACTGTTCTTGCGGATGTGCACAAAGATTGTGCGTTGGGACTCACATCGCGAAAGAAATTCGTAGTGAACTATTTAGAACACTGGGAATAACGTGTTGTGCTGGAATATCTTACAATAAACTTTTAGCTAAAATTGTTGGTAATAAAAATAAACCTAATAATCAGACGGTGCTTGTTTCAAGTAAAACCGAACAATTTATGAGAGATTTAAATAATCTAATGAAAATCACAGGTATAGGACAAAAGACTGAATCATTACTTTTGGAAAATGGTATTGCCAACATTACAGATTTGCAGAGATGTGATTTAGAAGTTTTAAAGAAAAAATTTGGTTACGAAATGGCAATCAAATTGAAAGATTTATCTTTTGGAAGGGATAACAACTCTGTACGTTCAACTGGTAAACCGAAAACAATCAGTTTAGAAGACTCGTGTCGTCCTATTTCTGTAACAAAAGATATAGAGGAAAGATTTCGTTTGATGTTAATGAGATTAGTGGGACAAGTATCTGAGGATGGAAGAATCCCAGTTGCATTAAAAATAACAGTTCGAAAATTTGATCCTCAAAAAAAAACCAGTCATCGAGAAACAAAGCAAGCAAATATTTTGCCAACACTATTTCGTATATTAAGTGATGGACAAATAATGTTAGCTGATAATGGTCAGGAGAAGTTAATTAAAATCATCATGAGACTTTTCGAAAGGGTCGTAGATATGAAAAAATCTTTTAATATTACACTTTTAGGATTAGCATTTTCCAAGTTTCAAGAACGAAAACATGGAGTTTCCCCATCTATTGCAAATTATTTTATTCGAAAAAGTGATCTTGAAGTACAATCAATTACGAACTTAGTGAATAAAGGCAGCCTTAATGAAGAAATAGAACCAGATTTTCCGCAGAATTTAGAGAAGCCTCTTGAAGCAGGTAAAATTTTCAAAATTCGTACAAATAAACGACTTAGCATAATGTTTTTATCTTTATAAGCATCCACATCTAATGACAGCTTCCAAAAAAGACGTTCAACAACAACAGCTTCACCTATTCCAATGCTTTTAGATGTGGACTCCATGTCATCAGATTTTTCAGATATTTCGGAAGCGGAAGTCGAACCTTCGCCGAAGAAGAAAAGAAGATTAGGACTTTTAATAGCAAAAAGACGGCTTTCCCCTCCAAGTGAATCTGAAACATCATCCCCAAGTAAATTAAGAGTTTCGGAATTACGACTTAATTCCCGTGATAGCGATAAAGATAGTCCAATATCATCTCCAGTAGCTTCAGCCGTACCAATTCGTATGTTTAGTAAAATGAATCAAACAAGTTTTTTTACAAATGCTATCATACCGTCCTCAAAACAAATAACGCGGCCTAACTGCAACAAAAGTGGCAGTTTTAACGCTGCAAAGCCTTCACATAAAGAAACGCTGTCATTGGACAATTATAAAATGGAGCAAGATTTTCAATTATCAAATAAACAAGATCAAACTCAAACACATGTTGAAAGTTCTCTCGATGAAAAAGTGTTAGTTCCCCCAGGCGTAGATCCGGCTGTATTTAAAGATTTACCTCAAGATTTGCAAAAAGAATTGATTCAGAATTGGAGCAGGAATGCGCTTGATGTGTCATTAATGGATAATGTTCCTAATGCTCCTATTAACAGCAGAGCATCCAAAACAAACGGCGCTAATACATTGCATAGATATTTTATAAGAAATAAATAACTTATTGTTTATTCTCTGGAATCGTAGCTAATGAAATAAAATAAAAATTTCAATATTCATTGGAGATTTGAAATTTGCATCGAAAGTTGCTCTCATTTCTTCCCATTATATTTGTGCATGGATTATTTAAACAAAAAATAAGCATTTTTTAGTCTTGATAATAATGTATTGTTTAAATTTAAATACTTTTATTATTTTCAAATTATTTATGTAATTGATCTTAAAAATTGCAAAACTTATTAATTTATAAGATCTAATTTGGGCAAAAATTTATGTAACTAAATTTTAATCGAAAACTGCTTGTAAGAAGGAAATCTTTCAAAATATTCTTTAATATTACATTACGTATTAGATTTATGTCTATGTTTGCTTCAAAATATTGTTCCATAAGATAGGTACTATTGGCATTTATTGTTACTTTTATAGATATAAGTCTTCTTAATGCCTTACTTAATAAAACTTTTTTTATTAGTGCAAATTTGATTATTTTCTTAACCTGAATAAAAAAAATTCTAAAATATTGCAAGGTAAATTATAAATCTTATCAAGTAGCTAACTGTACGGAACCAAGTTTCACCCAATTAAACAAAAATTTTTACATATAATTTCTTTGCTTAAAAGCTTCAAAGCTTTAATAATTTATTTCAATATTTAGAAAAGGAATATCACAAAAATTTTGCAAAGTCTTTTACAAAATTGCAAAAAAAAAAAATTCAAAATAAGCGATTTAATTGAGAAAGTAAAGCAATAGGTTTATCCAATTGAAAAAATAAAGGCCACATGCTAAAGCCTTGAATTTTGTTTGCAATTACTTTACATTTGGGTGGGTGTTAATGCAACGATTGTAAAACGTACTTCATTTGGATCGCGCGCCATAAATTCTTTGCAAACCTTTGCAGCATCCTTCAAAAATGAAGTTTCATTTGTAGATCCATGTTCCACTGGAAATGATTTTCTTCCATCCAATTCGTAAAGAGTACCATCTTTATTAATTAGAGCTATAAAGTGATGATTCACTTGCATCTCTGGATCCGCCGCTGTTTGACCTTCCTGCGCAACTTCTTCATGAGTTTGTGTAAATGTTGGGTCATTCTCTAACATTTTTCCTCTTTCATCTGGATTAAGACCACGAGCTGAATCCAAGTAGTTCTTTAGAATCCCTTCCTTTAAGTGAATACTGGAAGAAAATTTCAAAAGTTCAAAAATTAATATTCAAACAAGAAATAAAAACATACTCTTTGTTGTTTGCTATGCTGTGAACCAAAGCTATGGTACCACATGCATTATGTATTATTTGTTTCATATAAAACAAATCTTCTACTGGTTTCGGTGGTTCTTTCTTCATTTCTTCATCTTGTTCTTTTCGATGCTTTTCGTAAGCTTCTGATACCGGGAAAAGTAATATTACAGCTTTGACTAAATACATGAAAACATTAGAATTACTTTTCGCTTTTAACATTTAAAATAGACTCACCAGGTTTTGGCACCCATTCAAGCATTTCGGGTTCGAGACCGTACACATCAACAATTGACCATTCATCAGAAACGCCCAGTTTTCTTAAAAAATTATTCATAACCTAAAATCAAACAATGAATAGCGAAAGTGGTCATTAAATTTTTTTATATTTAAATACATCAGGATTTGATTCCAATGGTAACCAAGTAGTCATTTTTTTAATTTCGATTAGCGTCTTACAAAAATTAATAATACTCTTTTTAAAAAAAAATTAATGGCTAATACAACTACGAAAAAGCCGAATAATGACTAATGAGATGAATTAAATGAACTAATGTGATGAATTTTTCCGATTTGCAATAAAAATTCTAAAGACAGGAGGGTTAAAATAAAATATGACAGACTTACCATCAAATTTCAATGATAGTGGATAGCAAATTTTTGATCAATAAGGATGAGAGTAATCAATGAAGTCTCTGGAAATTCTATGTATTATGAAAAGAAAAAATGTTTTTCCACTATAAAATAAAGCAAAATAATTTATAGAACTTAATAAAAAATTTAATACATAACAAGGGTTTTTTGTCATAAAGTTTAAATTTTTATAAACAATTTATAAAAAAATATATGTATGTATATTTTACGGTAACATTATTTTGAAAACTGTACAAAAACTATAAATATGAAAACAAGAAAGAAATACAAATGTACATACATATATGTACGAATTGTATTAATGCTTGTTTTGTATTGTATTAATGTATCATCCACTAGGCTCCCAAACGATTTTTAAACTCACAATTTACATAAGTTCTTCTTTATTTTGATGTGGATATGGTTTAAATTGGATAAATACAAAAACTACAAATATTTTTTTCAATATTCAATTAAAATTTTGTGATCAAGTAAGTAGATTTGGGCTGTAAATTTAAAAAAAAAATAAGTTTTATTTTTCATAATTATAATTTGACGCGTTAATGATAATAATGATAACGCCGCATAAATAATAAACCTTTCTGAGAAAAAAAGAGCGAAAATGATGACGGTCTCGTTTTCTCAATATTTAAAGTTTTTTTCAAGTTTTGTAAAGTAAAATTTAGTGTTTTAAAAACTTGTAACTGTCAAAACTTATATTCTTCTTTTTATGTTTGATAAATTTTTTGAAATTTGACGTTTTAAGTATTTTATTGAGTTTTTAAAAGCTTCTAAAACTTTTCCGTCTGGTTTATTAATTAATTTAAAATGAGAAGTTTTTTTCTTTTTGCTAGAAATTACGTTTCTGTTTCATCTTTTTAAAGTTTTTTTAAAGCTTTATACCAGACAGACCCAATATGTATCGTAAATCAAAGATTACGTTACTTCTTACATATGTATGACGAACTGGGCTGCCGTTTTATAATTTCAAAAAGTAGCCGATTTTGCAAAAAAAAAAAAACGGAACTTTTGTGATTAAACGAAGTCCAACATTCTAATACTATAAAACAATAATTATAACTAAGTAGCTACACTAATAGTAAAACTAAGTATAACTAATGTACTTAGTTATACTTAATTCATCATCTAAAATCTAAATTTACATCTATATAAAAGACACACAACATATTTTGTTTTTATTTGTTAAGCTATTATAAATGTAAAGTTGTAATTTAATTGTTCACATATATATGTAAAGGTGCAAAACTTTTCAGTTGAAGTCTCTTTCAAGGTAGCATTCCACTGGAATCTAATAATCCACTAATAGCAAAACTTGTTTTTGAAAGTCAAAAGTTTGGGTTTTTTCAGAAACCTGGTAAACTGTGGCAACTTGGTACAAAAGAGAAAACTTTGTTTTTTTGATACGTGTTTAATACACTTTTGCATGGTTTATTCAAATTTGTTAAATTATGATATTGAAAAGCAAACGCTTTTCCATATCAATTTTTTTCGCATATTACTACTCATATCGTTTTTCTAAAAAGTGCACGGTCCTAATAAAGAAAGTATACTTTCATACTCGTATAACGCATTTCGTAAAAAATTGTATAATGCAATTTTTAGGAATTATAATTAACAACGCAAATTTTTTTTTTAATAAATATTTTTATTCATAGCTATAATTAACAAAAAAAAAAATAATAAATTTAACATTAATAAATATACTAATAAATATACTAATCAAATTTATTATTTTTTTTTAGGTATATGAAAAGAAAACTCCCTTTTATTCGGAATAAAATACTTTTCATTTTTGCTAATATATTTCATGCGCTACATACGCATTTTATCAAAGCTAATTTTCTTCTCAGCTTTGATAATGCTCAGCTTCTGAATAATTTTTTTTTCAAATTTATTCATTGTAAGACAGAAAACGACAAATTAAAGTCAGCTTTATCAAATCTTAATCAAAATGACATGAACACTAACTTGTTTATTATTACTACTATTTTAATTATTCCTTATTCCCTTTTTTTTTATTATATTAGGTTATTTTTTTCCTATTGTCAGTGTTTTCCTTCTCACTTATTTTTTTTCGGGAAAATTTCCGCAGAAGTCAAAATAACTATTAAAAATAAATATTAATGAGTCAAATATAAATAACATACTTTTGTTTGGTACTTCATAGATTTATATAACCTAGGTGCTTTTAAAGATAACCTCATCATTTTTTATATATTCTTAAAATTGCTTTAAACAACCATTCAATTTTTTACGCTATTTTACAAACATCAAATCTTTAACGGTATTCCAACATAAGACTTTAATAATAAGACTAAATGTTGTGTTTCCACTTGAAAACCCCAAACTGTGTCAAATTATCTTAACTATAAACTACTAAAAGTTTCTTTTTTTTAACAAAAAACTGAATTAAATGAAGGATTATCCTTCTCTCTACAAAAAAAAAGTAAAAAAGCCTATTCTTCAAAAAAAAAAAAACAGAGTACTAAAATTTTTTTGGAAGAAAAGTAAAATAAACAAATGTTAAGGTGATGAAAAGTCAACATTTACACTTAAAAGTGTACGAATGGCAACCCTAAGCTATGTAATACTGACATACATACATACATATTCGTTCGAATAATTTCTTTTTATAACGAAACGTAACACATGCTTATATTATAATTCACCCTGTTTCATCTTTTTAAAGTTTTTTTAAAGCTTTATACCAGACAGACCCAATATGTATCGTAAATCAAAGATTACGTTACTTCTTACATATGTATGACGAACTGGGCTGCCGTTTTATAATTTCAAAAAGTAGCCGATTTTGCAAAAAAAAAAAAACGGAACTTTTGTGATTAAACGAAGTCCAACATTCTAATACTATAAAACAATAATTATAACTAAGTAGCTACACTAATAGTAAAACTAAGTATAACTAATGTACTTAGTTATACTTAATTCATCATCTAAAATCTAAATTTACATCTATATAAAAGACACACAACATATTTTGTTTTTATTTGTTAAGCTATTATAAATGTAAAGTTGTAATTTAATTGTTCACATATATATGTAAAGGTGCAAAACTTTTCAGTTGAAGTCTCTTTCAAGGTAGCATTCCACTGGAATCTAATAATCCACTAATAGCAAAACTTGTTTTTGAAAGTCAAAAGTTTGGGTTTTTTCAGAAACCTGGTAAACTGTGGCAACTTGGTACAAAAGAGAAAACTTTGTTTTTTTGATACGTGTTTAATACACTTTTGCATGGTTTATTCAAATTTGTTAAATTATGATATTGAAAAGCAAACGCTTTTCCATATCAATTTTTTTCGCATATTACTACTCATATCGTTTTTCTAAAAAGTGCACGGTCCTAATAAAGAAAGTATACTTTCATACTCGTATAACGCATTTCGTAAAAAATTGTATAATGCAATTTTTAGGAATTATAATTAACAACGCAAATTTTTTTTTTAATAAATATTTTTATTCATAGCTATAATTAACAAAAAAAAAAATAATAAATTTAACATTAATAAATATACTAATAAATATACTAATCAAATTTATTATTTTTTTTTAGGTATATGAAAAGAAAACTCCCTTTTATTCGGAATAAAATACTTTTCATTTTTGCTAATATATTTCATGCGCTACATACGCATTTTATCAAAGCTAATTTTCTTCTCAGCTTTGATAATGCTCAGCTTCTGAATAATTTTTTTTTCAAATTTATTCATTTTAAGACAGAAAACGACAAATTAAAGTCAGCTTTATCAAATCTTAATCAAAATGACATGAACACTAACTTGTTTATTATTACTACTATTTTAATTATTCCTTATTCCCTTTTTTTTTATTATATTAGGTTATTTTTTTCCTATTGTCAGTGTTTTCCTTCTCACTTATTTTTTTTCGGGAAAATTTCCGCAGAAGTCAAAATAACTATTAAAAATAAATATTAATGAGTCAAATATAAATAACATACTTTTGTTTGGTACTTCATAGATTTATATAACCTAGGTGCTTTTAAAGATAACCTCATCATTTTTTATATATTCTTAAAATTGCTTTAAACAACCATTCAATCTTTTACGCTATTTTACAAACATCAAATCTTTAACGGTATTCCAACATAAGACTATAATAATAAGACTAAATGTTGTGTTTCCACTTGAAAACCCCAAACTGTGTCAAATTATCTTAACTATAAACTACTAAAAGTTTCTTTTTTTTAACAAAAAACTGAATTAAATGAAGGATTATCCTTCTCTCTACAAAAAAAAAGTAAAAAAGCCTATTCTTCAAAAAAAAAAAAACAGAGTACTAAAATTTTTTTGGAAGAAAAGTAAAATAAACAAATGTTAAGGTGATGAAAAGTCAACATTTACACTTAAAAGTGTACGAATGGCAACCCTAAGCTATGTAATACTGACATACATACATACATATTCGTTCGAATAATTTCTTTTTATAACGAAACGTAACACATGCTTATATTATAATTCACCCCTAAAAGAAAAAAGATATTTTATTTCTTAAGAAATAATGTTATTTCCGTACAATTTATATAAATAAAAATTTTTCATATTGGAATAATGCTTGCTTTGGCAGGAAAAAATATTTAGTGTAGACCGATTTCTCTGAAACAGAATAAGAATTGGTATAAGTTTTGTGCAATAACTCCAGATCCAAGTTTGGAATATTACCGAATGAGGAGAGTAGATATCGTCATTTACAAACAATGTGACATACTGTACATACACACATGTGCATATATTTTACATACGATGTACGGTTTATGATATTTAATCTTAGTTAAACTAGGATGTATACATGTAACGTAAATCATGGACTAGGATACTAACAAAAATTTATAAACAAAGTACCTAAAAACAAAACATCTGTAACAAATAAATACTTTGGGATTTTATTTAATACAAGTATTTATTAACATTAATTTCTGAAATTCATTTTTAATTGATTTACTAATATTCATCACGAAATTATTCATTTCCTCTATATTCACGAATGTGATATACAACCCAAGCTGGTACAACAAGTAAAGAAGCAACTGCTCCTCCACCTAATACGACTTTTTCCTGATAATATAAAATTGTGTTCCTTTAAAATTTCTGTATACTCAAAAATGATTTACGTAATACTTACAGCAAAACTGATATGTTGGGTTGGTGGTCCACTTACAACAGATTGCATACGGTTTTGAACAGCATTACGAACTGCTGGCATTAATAAGCGTGCTGCGCTATTTCCGAACATTTTAACTTTTATTTTTTAATTTCCAAATAAGAAAATTAAGGTTTGTTAATAAATGATTCTACCAAGAACTTGCTGTTATGGTATCTGTATTCTGTAGACTGTATTAATAGAAGATAAAACAAATGTCAAATGTTCTGAATCTTGAAATTTGAAACTTCAAAATACAGGCTTGCAAACAATGTCATGGTAGTGATGACAACATCAAAAATAATCAGCCATCTGTCTTGTAAGTAGCAAATTAAAAATATATGAAAAATACTATTATATTTTTCTTCCTCTTGTTAAACCCATATAGTATTTTTTTTAACGTGATTTTGTTAACGTTTGCAAAATTACAACGTTTCAAACAGATTTTTTGATATTCAATCATATAATTTTGCAGATGCTCTATGCATATAATAAAAATAATGATGAAAGTAAATAACAAACATTTTCAGAGAAATGCGTTTTTCTCAAAAAATGTTAAGTTAAACAAGAATTATGTAACAGTATGTTTATACATCTTTTTACTTAAAAATTTAAAATAAACAAAATCATTTGCTATTAAAGCCGCAACTAATATAACAATTTTTTTTGAAAAGAAAAAAAAATACTCTATACAACTTGGATGCAATGATTTCTTTATTATCAGCCTATGCAAGTCATTTAATAAAAATATTCTATCTAAAAATGCAACGCAATTATTCATATATATATATGCATATTTTGGTTCGAATATTTTAATTTAAAAGTTTTATTAAATAAAAAAGATTTCAGTTGGTGAATTTAATATTTAAATTCCCCATTTCGACTAGAAAAATAAACACAGACATGTTAACAATGGTTTATTTCATATTAAATACTAAATTTGCTGTTTATTTGAATTGTCAAAATCTATTTCATTTAATGCCGCCCATCTATTCCATTTAATAAAGAGAAATCGGCTGGCAGTTCTGACTTTGTCTATGGAATGCTGCCATTTCAAATTGCATTTATTATTATGATACTGTATTTCTAACAGTATCAAATGTCAATGTCAAAATATTTTTCAATTAAATTTTGTTTACATAAAATATATTGTTTAAAGAAAAAAAAAGAAAAATATGTATTTAAAAATGAATATTTCATAGAAAATACAAAAGAAAAATCAATTGGGGTAAGAAACGAAATTAGTAATAATTTCAAAGACTCAAATGGATTTGAATTTAGAGAGTACGTTAAATTTTGTAAAAAGTAATTTTCTTAAGTTTTATATTATATGCATACATATTTCTAATTTTTTTAATTGCTTACTTGTATTTTGTTAATTTTATGCTAATTTTTCGTTGTTTATGTTTATTTGCGTGTTTATGTATACATACCAACAAAATATCAATATATTACTTACATATGTATGTTTAATAATGTCCTCATAGCGATTTCTTTAACATTAAACGTTAAAAATAGCTTGATGTATACAAATTCTGATTTAATTTTTATAAAATCAAAAACTAAAAATAAGATTTTTAAAAAATGACCTTGTCAAGGTTGTAAAAGAGAATAAATTAAAAAAAAAACAAAGTTAACAGTACGTGTATACCTACCATACCTAGTAAATGTGTAAAATTAATTTTAATGTTTAATTTATGTATCCATGTATGTATGTATTTTTTTAGATACCTATCATATACCTAAGTTACCTATTTACCCTTGTTATTTTAAATATGGTAAATCTGTACATAATTTTCAAGGCGAATTTTCTTTGTACAAATTTGTATTTGCAGTAGGTAAATAAAAAATTTTTTTTTGAAATTACTTAATGTAATATTAAGTAAATGTGAAGAGCACACCGTTATAGAACAAAGTAATTTTTAGGTTTAGCCTGCTTACCTATTATGTTAACTGGACACAGATTTGAAACTTAAATCAACTCAACTCAAAAACAATAGAGAAATATTTTCCTTTATCTTTATAAAACTTGAATTACTTAAAATATTCAAATGAATCTTTATAGGAGAATAATGGACAAAAATGTTACTGAAACACTTCTCATGAAAACTGTACTCATCATGAGCAAGTGATTCTGAGGTCAAGCAGTAATTGTTTTTTTCAGATGCATATCATACGCATACTATAGAAAATTCTATTATTTTTTTTTAAATTTTCAAGGAATATCTATACAAATCCATAATATGTCAGTGAAAAAAGAAATTATTTTCAAAATAAGAATGTTTAGAATACAAAAATATGAAGCAACCTCTGTTAAAACCGTACCTAATGCTCGGCCGTGTGAAACCAAAACGACTGAAAGTGTTAAACTTTTGATTTTTTTAACATATCAATTTTTCTCTTATTTTCCTATTTGGATGTATTTTCTGTACTAATTAACGGTTAAGAAAATCAAAAATGTACAATAAGAGGCAATAACGAAACTTTTTCCACACGAAGTTTCTTAATACATAACGTACATATATGTGTATATGTATGTATATATATATATATATATATATATATATATATATAATTAAGTTATAAAAACAAAAAACACTGTGATAGTATAAGGCAAATATTTGTATTTTTGTTTTTTTTTTGTTGGATAATTATGAATTAAAATATGCTACTAACATGCCACAATATCTTGTTATCTTATCAACATCATTTCCGTTTAGTATTACGATGTTTTATTTGACAAAAATCCGTGAATAACGTCATGAACAATTTGGTTCAATTTACAGGAACTTGAAAAAAATAGACCTGTGAGATACATAACTGAACTTTAACGTAGCTTTTTAATAATTCAACTATTGTTTTCAGTTGTAAGATCAACGGCATTCTTAAAATCATTAGCTGCCTTTCGCTTCAGGACTTCAGAACTCTTTCAATTGTTATCTAAATGAGATTATTAGATCTGGCAAGCAATGTTGTAAACTTTTTGGCAAGATTAGAAAACTACAGTTACATCATGTTAAACTACAAAAGTTTGGCCCACAGAAAATTTGAATAATTTTGGAATGATTTTTATAACTGGATACATCGGTCTTTCAAAAAATTCAATTGTGGCTTCAATTTGTAGTTCTTTTCCATTAAATCCATTTTATAATTGACAAAAAATGAACTGGTTTTTTTTAAAGTTGTATAAGTCCACTTTTTGAAAAGGCTAATTTAATGGCAATTTAAGTGAGTTATAGACACCTTCTCTCCACTATTTACAATCACAATTTGAACAGAGTTCTATGTAGACATAAAAGAAACAAATTACGTTATTATGATCAATATTTTTAAATGGACTCAAACGCAAGCCCCTAAATATATTAATATATAAAGAAATGGACTTATACCACCTTCAAAAAAACCAGCTCAAATATTGTGTGTCAAAGTATATACTGAAATTTTTAAGTTTTTGTTTCATAAGATCAGTAAAAAAAATTTTCGATTTTTTCTCTGTGGCAAGATTAATCTTAGTTGAATAAATTAGAAATATAAGTATGTATGCACATTATTTTCAAAAAAAAAATTATACTAAAGTAAGTTGAAGAAAATAGTATTAAACTAAATACTATCCAAACAATAATATGGATCTATTTTTCTGTAGAAAATATTAAGTAAAAAAAAAATATTTAATAACTAAGCCATGTACATAATATTATGTGTATTTTGTATTAAATTTTTTATCTATACTTTTGTTGATATTAAATCTAATTAAATTGCTCTAACGTAAATATAAATTTTGGAAACTTGTGACGTAAATTTTTAGTTCAAAAATTTTGACTTTATAATTTTTAGTTATATTTAAGCATAAGAATTTGCGTAAAAATTTATGCATTTTGGATTGGAGGGTGTACAAACTGAATGAGTTAATTTACGATAAAATTCATCAAATGTCTTAGCAAAATGTTTTATCATTGATTTTTTTATATTTTCTAAATTAACTTACATTATTTCAAAAGATTTGTTATTGTAATAAGTTATAAGTAAGGAACAATTTAGATCACGAACTAACAATTTAAACAACATAGAAAATTGAGGCTTATAGATCCGATTTATATAGGCAAATATTATCCGATATTTTTGAAATCGGCACTGCTCTACATATTCTTACTTATAATTGTAATATATTAACCTCATTCTATATAAATAGATAATTATGTGCACTAAAAAAACATTAATTTTTTCCATTAAAATTTAAAATTGATCGCAAAAATTATGATTAATAACTTAAAAACAGTTTTTTTTATTTTTGGCGACCTTAATGCACAGTATATTAATTAAAATGCATTTTGTTATGTATACACATATGTGTTGATAAATTGACATTAATTTGAGTTAATTCAATTAATATTTTACGGTATTATCGAATACGAAATATAAAAGAGATTATAAATACGATTACATATATTCGATATTTATAATATATTTTTGTATGTTTGTAAACTTCTATATAAATGACCTTTATATAATTTTTTTTTGCTTTTTTAAATCTGGCAAAATTTCCAATGACAAATCAGTTCAAATAAATTCACTTTGGGATTTAAATAATATAAACATAAACGCATATATGAACATAAGTAAAATCCAAAACGAATTAAGTAAATTATTGATTATACATACATACATATGTATAGTAGTTCAGTTGAGCAGTGTAAATCAAACTCTTATTGCCAACAGAAATATGAGATGACCACTTTTAAAGTCAATTGTTTAAATCAATTGTATTTTAAATGGAGGAATTTAATCTTATGCTATAAGAAAGAAAGGAAATTTTTTAAAATAATTTTTTAAGAAACAATAAGCTGCGTGCTTACAATAAGTTTCCAAATTCAAATATACAATTATATTTTACATAAGTACATACAAATATGTATATTATATACTGACTCATTAAAAGTATACAATATTTAAATTTTAATCGTGATTAATAACTATATATATATATGTATATTTCTTACTCAGCAAAAAATTTTCAAAACATGAAATTTAAAAAAACAAAACTGCAATTTCATGTTTTGGTATTAAATTTTCTAATTGAATACTTATTATTTATTAATAACTAAATAAGTACATTAATTTCAAAAACCACCCCATTTCAAGTCAAAGAAGCTTTAATTTATGAAGTATATAGTGTTAAAATAATTATAATTTCACGTATTTTTATTCAGCCATTCTACACTGTAGATGTTTACTTCAGTCGTGCAAAGAATTTATTAGAAGCAATACTTTTTTTTATATTTTTCTATTTCTATTTAAAAAAAATAGTCTAATGCATAACATTAACGCTAATTGCAATGTATTGCAATTTTATTAAATTTTAATAAAATTTTAAAACTCAATAATTTCGTTCTAAAATGTTAAATAATATTAAAGTGGTTTCAATTAGTTCTGTGCTTATGAAAATATTTTACAAAATTAAGAAGTGAATAAAATAAGAATTTTAATTTTTCTTTTTAAAAAATAAAAAATAAATAGAAAACAGAACAAAACATTAGATAATAGTTTTATGGTTTTGCAAAACAGAAACTGAAACAATGGTAGCATTTGTTATAGGTACGTGAAATACTCGTATGTATGTAAAGTAATTAATTGTAAAATTATTTGTCTTTGGTTTCAGTTGAATTTAAAAAATATGCAGCTACTATGCGTACATGTATTCAAGAGTCAATGCAGAACTTTACTATCAAGTTAATTAATTTGACAAAAATCTAAATTAGAAATTTCAAAATGTAATTTTAATTTTCATTTTTGATTTGTATAATATTTTTTTCATATTATTTTTGTATTGTACAACTTATTACAATAATGGTGTACGTAAAAAATAATAAAATGAATTAAATTTTTTGAAATTTACGTTAAAAAACTTTTTTTTTTTGTCAACATTTTGTTTACTTTAAATTAAGAAAAGACAATATTTAAAAGTATGTTTTGAAAAAGCAGAATAAAAAAATTATGTTTTTTATTTATTTTTAAACAAAATAATACATGTAAGCAATATCAATATTGATATAAATGCAAAACCATATTCTTGCTAACCACGTTGTATACTTGTTGATTACATACTAAGTTTTGCATGTCCAGTTTTTTCAGAAATGAACTTATTGATCAATGTCCGTGCCTTAATGTGCGCATTCGTGTATTTCATTTTCCTTTGAACCGATTTTAATTAAAAGTTCTTATTTGAGTTTGCTTTGAGCATGCTTGATTAATTAACATTTGGAATATGTCAGACGTTGGAAACCGGACCTTTACTACTATGTATTAAAAATTTTTAAAATATTCGTCAGATTATCTTGAAATCTTATACATACATACATAAGCTTCGTAATGAACTAGTGAATTTCAATATTAGGACTCGGAAACCGAACTTTTACTAGGGGCCAACATTTCTTACCATTTTTGAAGAAATTACCGTAAAAATATAAAAAATTAAAAATGTAGAATATATTGACGCAAATTATAAAAAACTAAACAAATTTCTTAAAAACGAACTAGATTTCAAACAGTAGGGAATGTTTGTGCCTTCTTCCTTAGCAAATATTAACAATCATGAGTAGATACATAATGAATAAAAATTATAGTGTGCCAAAGATTTGTATAATTTAATTTGTTCATATTTTTACAAATTTGACCAATCAAAAGGTCAATTTTGTAAAAGGGCGTGAATACTATCCAAAAGGTATTTCAAAAATCTTATGTAACTCCCATTTTACACGAAATTTTGCTATTTTATTTGGCTCTTCAATAGACACATTGAAAATACAGTTTTAATCGCATTTAAATTTAAAAAATTTTTTATCATATGATTCATTATAACTGACATTATTTTATTTTTATGTTTTTTTTACAGCTTATTTCCTATTGGAATAAATTGTTTTAATTTTCATCATTCATCTTTTTGGCTGATCAAATAAATAAAATACATAGATACATATAAGAAGCAAAAATTTATAAAGAAGATAATTTCTATTTAGAATTTTATCTTAAGACAACAAACAAAAGTGATATACTACTTAATACAGCACACTAAATGGAAGAAATATATAAATAAGATAATACCAGCATCATCTACTCTCATTCTGGCAATGAATCTGTAACATTTAAAAACGTAAAACAAAATTTAACGACGATATACATATATAATTAAAAAAAAATATTTTAATCAAGAGACTGAATTTTTGAACAACTTGAACAAAATAGTTACAAATAAATTTTTACCAAAGAAACCTCAAAATTTTGTACAAAATTAAATTTATTTAAGGCAAACAAACTCGATTAAATACGATACACAAAAAAATGGAATGCGAAGCAGTTAAAGTGTATTTTGTACGACATGGTGAAAGCGAATGGAATAAAATGAATTTATTCTGTGGATGGGTGGATGTTGACTTAAGTGAAAAAGGTAAAATGAAACAAAATTTAAAATGAAAAAACTATTAGGTATACATCCTTGCATATTTGATTAAGATAAATTTTAAAGTGAAATAAATTTTTTACTGTTTAGAATTTAAATAAAAATAAATAAGAATAAAAACATTATTTAGGTCTTCAAGATGCGACATCTGTTTCATCAGAAGCTTTAATTACTGAAAAAGTTAAGTTTGATATGGCATTTACATCAGCTTTAAAACGAGCAGATCAAACTCTAAGAATTATTTTAAAAAATTTACATTTAGACAATATTCCTGTTTATTCAGCTTGGCAATTAAATGAACGTCATTATGGAAATTTAACCGGATTTAATAAAAGGCAAACAGCTGATTTATATGGAGAAGAGAAGGTAAAGTATCGCAATACCGAAATCTAAAATAAGACCAAAATCCGAATGTATATATACACATATATTAAATTACATACAAATATTTCGATTTCGAAATTTTAAAAAAGTTTTTTTGGAATTCTCTTAAAAAGCATCTTTAAGCTGCATTCAGTTAACTCCTTTAAACAATAAACTTTTAACTCCTTTTAAATAAATTTTAAAAATTAACTTTTTTGTTCATGTTATAAAGGTTCAAATATGGCGCCGTAGCTATGATGTTATTCCACCGCCAATAACACCGAAGAATCCATATTATGAAGTTATACGCGCGAATCCAAAATTTAAATGTATACCAGAAAATGAATTTCCTGATTGTGAATCATTAGAAACAACATTAAAGCGAGTAGTTCCATTTTGGGAGAATGTTATTGTGCCAGAAATAAAGAAAAGGAAAAATATTTTGATAGTTCTTCATGGTACAAGTTTACGGGCAATCATAAAGCATATTGAAAGTAAGTGCCAATTTTATTTTAGATTATTATTAAGTATATATAAATGAACTTAAATACGTATTAATATATGTATGTTTTTCCTTTTAGATCTTAATGAAGATAATATTATTAAATTTAATGTACCAAATAGCATCCCATTTTTTTATGAATTTGATGTTAATACAGTGAAAATTATCAATAAAATAAAATTTTTAGCTGATGAACAAGTCGTTGCTAACGAAATGGCAAAAGTTGCTTCTATTGGAAAAAGTAACTGAAAAATGTAGAATTAATTTTAAAATCTATCAAGTTATTTTTTGTTTTTTTTTCCTGAAGTACATAATGTACATTCATTGATGTTTGTTATTTCTTACTCAAAAAATCAGTGTTGGTTTCTTATTTATTGTCGTACGATTTACATTGAATATAAGTTTTTACTAATATATATTACACAAAATATGTACATATATTTTTATATATTCAAAAATATATTTTAATTCAGGCTATATTTATTTATTTAAGTGAAATATTAATGTAAAATTGAATTTTAAGTTTTTTGTTTTTTTTTTCTTTTGTTCCTAATGTTAATTGTATTAGCTTTATTTTTGTAACTATGTATATATTATTAATAAAAACAGGAAAGCTTGAATATTGAAAAACAATTTTATATAAAATTCATTACAAATTATTAAACCTCCTAATTTTTAGAAGGTGCTAACCGCTTTTGAATTTTGCATAATAAAGTTAAGGAAATACCTTAACACATTGACTCTAAATCATTTTTGCTTGTGCTTACCAAGAAGCTCACAAAATTTTTTGGGTAATATTTATCTATGTATGTATATATTTAAAAATACGTGTAGGTTTCTAGATACTTCGCATTGCGACTTTGGCAATTAAAAACATCCCTTAAATTTCGTGTTTTTGGTGCTTGGACCTCGTTTCTCTTATTGCTTTTTCCTGAAAATTTTATAAGAGTTACGGCGAAATTAATTAATAAAGCAATAGCTTTTTTTGCAAATATACAAATTAACTAATTTTTATCGTTAATGTTAAAGCTAATTGTTTAAAAATGAATTAACACTGTTTTTCTTTGATTTCAAGTAACCTATGAAAAAATTAAAAAAGGGAAAGAATTAGGAATTATAGTGAAATTCTAAGTACATGGCTTAAAAATTTAAATTTTTTCCTTAAGAATACCGTTGCTATAAATAAGTACCGTTATTATAAATTTTCGATTATTAAAATTTTTAAAAAATAAGGCACAAATTTTATACAGAATACAGATTATATAATATAATATAAGGAATATAATTCCATACAAATTTTATACAAATTATATACAGACACATAAGGTACATGTTACATTTGAAATGAATACTGTATTGTGTATTATTTCTTTCAAAAACGTTCTGCTTTATTCCTTTCAACTCTACTTTCGTTGTGTTAAACGTGTGACGTGTGATGTAACTATAAAAATTTTATGAACAGATGTAGATCATTTACTGCATTTGTCTCTTAAATGTAAATTATCTGTTATGGAAACCACAAAATTTTGCTGTCATTAAATTGCAATATGTACTTGTTGTTTTTTATTAATTTTGACAATCATTGTCAAAACCGATTGTGCGTGTGTGTTTGTGTGTGTGACATATTTATATCAATTTATTATATTTTTCTCATCCAAAAAATTTAGTAAAAGAAAATAAAAAAAAACATTTAAAAATTTTAACACAGTCAAAAATTAAAAAAAAATGTATAAATAAAAAATTTATTCAGTTAATATTGATTTGGAAAATCTCTGTTTAATATTACAAATATAAAGAGTGTTATATTATTTTTATAGCTTTATAAAAATGGATTTTGGATAAAATTTCATATGAGTAATATCGTAAAATTAATTTAATTGGTAACGAAAATTTAATTTTGCATATGAGATACAAAATATGTATTTTGTTATAAAACTAATTGTAAATCTATTATTTTATGAGGGTGGGGGGATAATTCATAAATTTAATTTATTATATCTAAAATGAACTGATAAACTTTGTTTACAAAGGTTGTAAAATAAATTATTTGCAAAATTAATAAAATGATAAAATATATAGTTTCAAAATTTAGAAAAATAGAAGATTAAAAAAATGTTGGTGATTCAAATGTAGTCTAATTAAAAAAAAAAATCAACAAAAATATCTCTTATTTTCTTAATAAAAGGTAAGTAAAAAAAAATATTACGGAAAAATCAATTTACTTGATTAAACTCAAAAGTTTACATAAATTTGTGTACATAAGGACATATATTATGTCTATATAATGTAGAAATACCTTTGATGTGTCAAAGGGAGGTTTTAGTTATGCGCAACAATAAAGGGTTTACCCATCCTGCATATGGTATACTATAAGTTTGTAGGTACCTACCCTAGCTATGCACATACTTATTATTTTACTTTGGTTAGAATTATGTATAATTTACATACATATAGTCTTAGAAGATTTTATAAATTTTATTGAAATTAGCTTACGTGAATTGAATATTTTAGACCAAGTTGTTGTATAAATATCTATTACTATTCCAATTTAAAAAATATATCTTGGTAGTAAATATAATTGTTAGGTATTCCATTTAACACTACCTAAATATTATCTTCTTGTTTTGTAAATTCCACAAAACGATTAAACCTATTTATTTTTATAGCTATATGTATCTAGTTTTGTTCTTATTCTATCGAATAGACTCCAAGCAGAGCTACTACCTTTAGTATAATTTCCAGGAAGCATTGAATTAGTCATCATTTGTATACTGCGGCAGTATAATGAAGTTTTGAAAATTGTAGAAGCTATTAACATACCTACATTAGAGTTTCTGTTTTTTAGTTCTAGTTTACTTACATCTATTATATAATTATAAGTTACGTTGTGCAAAATTAGTTCGTGCATTAATTAAAATCGAAAAAAAAATGTTACAAGTTATACATATATACAAAAATTTTTAAAAATCAAATTCTCAGTACTTCACTAATACAAAATTAGATTTTAGTATATTACGTTAAGTAGGTATCTAGCTACTCAAATTTTAGCTTTCAAAGAATATCCTACAATATTTAAACCAGAAACAGGTTTTTTTTAATTTAAATAATTCCTGGAAACCAAAAATACTAATTTGAAATTTCCGCTGCTTTTAAATATAAACTCGGATTAAATAATTTCTTGATTATGCCAGGTCCCATATTTTAGCAACTTAGAATTAACTATTTCTAATTATAATGTAGATTATATATATGTAAATAAATTTAGTTAAACTTTTCAAGAAGTTGAAGATTAATTAAAGCAGTTTTGAGTATCCTCTTGAAAGTGTGTTTTAAAATAAAAGATGAAAATTTATAACAAATTATAAAACCTGCCAAATACCTATTACTTAAAAATCATAAATTGAAAATGCTGAGAATATATACTTCATGAATATAAGAAACATTATTATCATATTCGTTAAAATTTGAAAAAAGTTGGCACTATTTTAATTCATGTAACAATTTCTAATTTTTCTACGTATACATATGTCCTTTATTGAAATAACAAATGCAGAAGTTGGTTAAAATTTTAAAATTTTATTTTTTTTTTTGAAACACCGAATAAAAAATAATTAGCATTTTATATATTTTAAGTTATTTGTATAAAAATAATGTGTAAAAATTAATATTTCAAAAAATTAATTAGCCCATACATATGTATGTAATTATAACAAAAATCATTATCGAAGTTTTTGGTTTATATTTAGAATTTTGTGAAATTAAAATCATGTATGACTTCTTTCGTAGGCATACAAATTCAGTTTAATTTTATGAATACATTAAATAATGAATTATAAAAAATTTGTTTGGGAACATTAATTTGATTAATTCAAATATAGTTTTTTTATATTTTTATTTAAAAATTGCCTTAATTAAGATTTGTTACAGTAATTCTATTTGCTTTTTTTTTTCTGGAAACCGGTATTCATCTCCATTTTTCAATAATTATTTAAATCAAAATTAAAATCATAAAAAAGCTTTTTTATAAATAAAAGAAATTGATTTTCTTACAATTAAGTATATTACAGTAAATATCATATTTTCCCACTTTTATTTGCTCATTTATAATTTTGGCTTATTTTCTAAACACATATTTAACAAACCCACAATATCATTACAAATTCAAGTACATACAAATTATTTATTGTATTTCAATTAAATTACAATTATATTATATTTTGTGGTTTTCAATTGATTTTTAAAAATAGTTATATAAAATCGTAAAAATCATCCCTAAAAGAAGAGTTATTCTCGCATTGCTTACTAAAGTGTTTGCACTATTTCCACCTAGTTGAGCACTACTTTTTGGTGTAGCACATACTGTTTCATTTTTTATAAATTTGAACATGGATTCAATAATATTGGCAGGAGTAATATCTTCACATTTTTCAAGTACTTTCACAGTGCATTTTTCAAAAGCTTGAATATCATCACATTGTTTTGGCCCGATAACAAATTTTGGCAAAGTTTCTAAAGATTCGAAACCTAAAAAAATATAATAAAATTAGCTGTATAGATAAAAAGTGAAATACTTATTGTATAATATAGTATCTACAAAATTTTTTGATTCCAATTTAGTAAGTAAAAAATTAAATTCTTTTGAAAAATAAAAGATTAATTAATTCTAAATGATTAATAAATTTAAAACAGAGATAAAATGTTTTATTATCGATTTCTTGCACTTGAAGAATACAATGTACAAGATCGTAAAAAACATTTAAATCGTATGTACGTTTTATATTTTCTTTACTTATCGAATGTACATATTAAGTCACAATATATATATAATAACATTATTCATCTAATTGCAAACTGAGTTAATTTTTTATCAATTTCATATTATATAGGAAATTGAAATCTTCCCTTTCTTTTGTTGATTCATAAGAACTTTGAACCTTCAAAACGATATGTAAAATACTGATAAATATTAGAACTCTGATAATACATGAGAAATTAGGAATTTTAAATAATTATTTTCATTATTTACACTCATTTTAGAAGTGTTGACAAAGAAATATTTTTTTTTTTTAAATTATTATAACCTTCTTTTGGTATGTATCCTCCAAATGTGTTATTCAAGCATTTTCCAATTTCCTCCTTGCTAGCATTCAAACATTCTGGACCTTTTTCAGCAATAAACAATGCAATCTGATCTCCTCCCTTATAACATACAAAATTTAGTATACTTTTAAATATTCTCATTAATGTTTCATAATGGCCTTTTTCTTCTTCATCCATGCATGGTTTTAACGTAGTTTCAAATTCTTCAAAACATTGCATAGCTTCTGGTCTTTTTTTACAGTATTTGTTAAAAACCTCATCTAAACGTCCATGTGGGCGAGCTTCTTCAATTTCCTCTTGAATTTTAGTTACATTTACAATATGTGTCATACATTCATACAATTTAGTCCCACCTTCTTGAATATTATTAAAGGCATCAGGATCATTAGACACCTTTTTACATTTTTCTTCTAGTAATCTTTTTGTGTCATCGATTCTTTGTGTTATATTAATATTGGCTAGTTGCTCTGTAACATTTACATCTTTAATACTATTTAAATCGAAATTACTAATGTCTATATTGCATTTAATTTCTTTTGTTAAAATAATCGCAATAAAAGCACTAATCAGCAATTTTATCGATTTTGCCATTTTTTTTTTTTTGTAATTTTTTTTATAAAATTGAAAATTGTATTTTCCTTTTTATGTGGACTTTATTATTGTGTAAATATAAAAAAGTTCTTGAGGTAAAAAAACGATATTTACAGTAAGAGGTTTCTACTAAATAAATTTAAATCTATTTACTTATAGAAATTTCAAAACTAAAATAATTATTGTACTATAAATTTGATCCGTAAATTACGACTACAACAACTAGAATGACAACTTTTTTCAATCAAAATTTCAGAACTAAAATTTTGTAGCCTACCACTCTTGTATTGAATTAATGAAGTATTGTAGTGTTAAATAAAATATAGCAGGGGTGGTATACAGTCAGTTATGCTAAAATAATTTTGATTTCTCATGAAATTTTATAAATATTTGTTTAGCAAATTTTAATAATCACTTGAGTTTCGGTGAAAATTTAGCTTATAAAATTAGTAAATAGGTTTTGCATAAACATACATATAGTCAAAATGTATAAATTTTAAGTTGCAATTTTGCAATTGGTCTAAAATTTTACCTACGAACGTATAAACTGTTTTAGTATTTTTTTTATTAAAAACGGTAAAAATATATTTTCGGAATGAATTAATTGATTAATTTTAATAATAATTTATCAATCAAACAATTTGTTGATGAGATTTGGGATGAATTAACTAAATGATTTCTGAAAAAAAGTTTTTGCTGTTATTCAAATTCAAAAACAAAATTTTATTTCGGCTTCAATATATTTATAATATTCTTATAACCATTTAAAACTTTTACTAATTTTTAAAATGGACTTTCAAATTTAAATGAGTTCCTAAATTTAAAAATTTTTTTTTATGGAAAAGGGGAAGATAACAAATTGCATCAGAAAATAGAGAAAAAATGGTTTCTATTACATTGCCAGTATATTTATAGGTTTATAACTCTAAATAACCATATGTACTCCTAAATACTCCTAATCCAAAAGAATGGACTCACGAAAAGCAATTTCGTTATTTTCTCATACTTGCATGTCATTCGTGATAAGGTAAACGTGCATGAGCCGTCATTGAAAATGAATATAATTTACTATATAAAAAAGTAAATTAGGATGGAAAAGGATGAAAAAGAAGTTCTATTTTTTTTTTTTTTTTGTTTCATTTTGGAATTAAAATAAAATTTGCCGGTGATGTTACTATGCATTTGTATTTTTCTTTATGGTGACAAGCAAACCTATGTTAATTCCTGTGATTGTTTTGCTATATGTATTATAAAAATTAAATACGTATGTGCGTTTGACTCGTATATTGTAAGGTATGGTTGTTTGTCCAATATGCATAACATGTACACATGTATGTATGAATTTTAATTAAAAAGGAATTTTATAAAATAATTGTTTGCTTTGCCACTAAAACAAAGTTTCAATAAAATTTAGATAATATGTACATACATATGTATATTTATCAGAATACAAACATTTTTCGTATATTAGGCATTCATTATATTATTTCCCAGTAAGACTTTAAATAATTTTACTTCAATATAAATTTAATTGCTTTTTCTTTTTTTGTTCAACTATTAAATTTTATTGCTATGGTTTATTAACTACTAAATTTTATGTCTAATAAGTCAATGGTTTTTGAGCTATTTACTTGAGTAAAAATGAAACCAAGTAAGTGAAGAAAAGATATGTCTTTATAATGACTTGGCAGCGTGAAAATGACTATTACTTAAACAATGTTGAAATAAAACCTAAAAAGTCTAACAGGTATAAAGTTTTTGTAATGTAATTGTTTTTAACCTACCAACACATAAATATTGCCAATTATAAACTTCAATTAATACACATAGTGACCATCTGTCCTATACTCTAGAATTTGTCCTATAGTGTACTAGTCTCGTTTTAAAAAAAAAAACATGTGCAAAGTTTAAATTCTTGGGTAATCGAAGTTTACATTTTTTTATACTTTATATTATTACTTCCAGGATTTTTTTTAAGATTTTAAAGAATGCGTGGAATTTTGATTGAGAAAAACATTTTTTCATTTATAAGGAACGAACTTGACTTGCGAAAAACTTTTCAATTGAGAAGACAAATTTTGTACCCCTTTAAATTTAAATAGAACGACAATTTTTTTTTTCTGATTTGATTGAATGAAAAGCAAGCCATTATTACTTGAGAAAATATGGTAACTCTACGTAAGATAATGTTTTAGTCATATCACAAATCAAAATTCACATCAACATGTTATTATATATTAAAGCACATTTATAATTAACATGAATATGTGTATGTATGTATACATATGTACAAGATTCTGACGGTAGCTTGACCGTGAACATTGAACCTAACTTACTTTAATTTAATATTATAACGAACGTAATTTCATACATTTTTATGCAAATCTTTATAGGAAACAAGTAAACAATATTGTGTACATGTAGTACATATACCGTGAATCTACATTTATGCGTAGTGAGCAAATGCATGTAAATAAAAGTTAAATAATATGTAAGCATATTTTATAAAATACATATTATGTACGTTATGTATGTATGCACATAATAACTATTTAATGTTAAATAATATAAAAATTAACCGTTTTTGATACCCCATAAACTCGTAGAATCAGCAAATAGAATTTGCTGAATATTATGTTTTCCAAGCGGCTTTCAATTTCTGAATGTTCTGCCTTTCCTCTCAATAATGAAAAAGTTGCTCTGGACAATAATGATTCGTTTCAACTACTTCCGCATGTAAAACTGTGTTATAGTTTTTGTCGGCTGTCAGTATTACTTATTTACTTATATATGTTTAGTTTAGGTACTTATGTAATATCAAAAAATAAATTGAAAATAAAATGAGAAAATTTGAAACATAAAGTTCTGAGTATGGACAAAAAAATAACCATTACATTTATTTTTATACAATGTATGTATGTACCTATTATATGCGAGTCTACTACATTTTAGTGTTAAGTTTATATACATATGCTTAGTATGTTTCTAATTTAACTTCCTAAGAATAAAAAGCAAAATTAAAAATCAACTTGTGTTTGAAGCGATAAAAAAGTGATTTTCACTGATGTCATCTGTGCTAGGCATTCGGTTACGAATATTTTTCATTAAATAAAAGTTAAATAAAACTTTTTTATGATCCTGTTGTCATTGCATTTCATTACAAGATTTCAAAAAACCAAATAATGTTTGTACATAATATGATATATAGCTATATAGCTATACATATTGAGTATATTAGTACTATATGTGAACGAGTAACTCGTATTTACGTACATATACACATTGAAGCTATTTTGAAAGGTTTATATTATGAGTTAACATTGAATTAAGTAATAATGATCTTCAGAATCAAGAAATCCGAAATACATATTATACCATGTAGTTAAAATAATTTTGAATATACATATACATATGTATATGTATGTATTTGGTGTAGGTAATATGTTTGTAATTTTCGAAAAATTTAATATTGCAAATATTTAACAAAAAAAAAAATTATTTGAAATTAAGAATCGCAATGGAGCTACAATTTATTATTTACAAACAGCATTTACTGTCAACAAACAGGTTTTTTTAGTGTCAGTAAAATTTGCAATAATGTATTTCTTAGGTAAAGTTGTAATGTGAGGCTCTTTCACTACGCTACATTGAATTTGAAGTCCTTTCAACCTTATAATTTTAATATTAATCTGTTTTTACAACGAAACAATTAATAAATTAGAATTTTAAGAAATATTTTCAATGGTAAGATCATTTTCAATATAGAATGATGATTATTCGTTCGTGTACATACTTAAATTTAAACTTAATTCTATAAATTCTTGTAGGATTCCTAAATCAATGTTTTCTTTAAAAAAAATATAAAATAAATTAACATTTGTAATTTAAATTAAATTAATTATAACAAAATTAAATTAAGGTAAAATTTTGATTGATGAAACTTTAAAATAATTCTATTATCTCTACTCTCGTTACTTGAATTTTATTTCGTTAAAAAATTATTGATTATTAAATTGTATGCATTTGTCTGCCATTATAGGTGTAGGTGAAAACCGTAGTGAATTCATTACCAATCGCACATGTACAAAACTTTTTAAATATGTATAAAAGCACAACAAAATTTAAAAATTACTAAAAGAAGCCATAAGTTTTCAATGTTATATATTAAATGAAAAAAAAAACAAATTTGTAGTTTTATTTTTAAATCAACAATTATACATATATAGCATATTAATTGCTATCGTATTAGCTATACCTGAAATTACCTAAAAGTAACAAGTGTTTGTTATTTTTTTCTAAAAATATGTACATTTATATATTTTTAAATAAGTCAAACATTTCAATTACAATAGTATTTTTAGCGTTATTTTTAGAAAATATTTAAAACCTTTTAAGGTTCTGTATTTATATTTTTGTGTGCCGTTCTTTTTGTAATTCATGACAACATTTTTATTTATTTTTTTAATATAAACGTCATTTAAAAATTATAGTTTAATTGTGCGTATATTTTAAACTTATATAGATAAGAGATCCAAGACTTAAGAAATGAAATGTTATAGGAAGCTTAGTTAAATTTTTTAAGCAAAATATAATTTTTTTTTCGAAATATACGAGTAATATGTACTCCTTCTTTTACGTCATTAATTAATTAATTTTACCTTAATCTCTTAATTATTTTTGAACTTTTTTTATTATATTTACAAATTTTAGAAAGTTTCTTGGTTTTAACATAAGTGCAATTTCATAAAACTTAACGAAACACTTATAACTGAGCATAAGTACATATTCATATACATATGTCGATCTGTGTTTATGCGTAACTTTAATTCAACTTGAATAACATTTTTATAAATTTTTTCTGTCTTAACATTTTTTATTTCCGTTAATATCGTAATGACACCTTTCACCTTCAAAACATTTTTTATGTTATAAAAACCCAAAAATAGTGTTTACTTACATACATATATTATACATATGTACATGAATTTGTTTCACAAATTATATAGTACGTGTTGAGGTTCATCTTTAAGAGTGGCAAAATGATCATTTTCCAAAAAATAATATGTAATTAAGTATGTATAAGAAAAATATTTTACATTTTTATACCAGTACAAACGTATGTTCAAAGGGTATACTAAATTTGCCTTACCGTTCGTAACGCTAAGAAATAACGGTCTTAAATATAGACTCAAATGTATGTTTTTGATCAGCGTCGAATTCTGAGTTGATTTAGGTTTGTCTGTCCGTCCGTCCGTCCGTCCCAGCGATAACTCAAAAACTAATTGAGCTAAGTTCACCAAATTTTCGCAAATGATTTATTGTAGCAAGTGCCAGAACCCTATTGAAATTGGACATGATCGGGGTACCGGTTCAGGTAGCTGCCATACAACTTCAAAATTTATTTGGCTATATCTCAGGAACTATAAAACAATGTGTTTGACAAAAGTCGTTGAAATTGCTTCGCTCCTTCTGGTAGCTGTCGTACAACTTCAAAAGTTATTTGGCTATATCTAAGAAACTATAAAAGCTGTAATATTGACATTTCACACAAGCGAATATATTAGTAGGGCCGATGTGCTTGATAAAATTCGTTAAAATTTCTTGGCTCTTTCTGGTAGCTGTCATACAACTTCAATAGTAGTTTGGCACACACAGTATTTTGAAAAACACATAGTACTGAAATTTTGCATAAATTAATATGGTAATACGGCAACTTAAAGTCACAGTCTGTTTCATGGTCAGTTACGGCATATATATTCGCACATAGGATAACAAATTCGTACGGGTATCACAGAGTTGACAAGGTCCACTCTATTTTTTCTCATTTAAAATAAATTAGATACATACATGCATATTAAATGAAAAAATGATTTTCTATTTCTTTATTTCAGATCAAAAGTGCACACTTTAGGTTTGCAATTAAATTTATGTATGTATACATGTATATATGCATGTTAACTGTGCGAACTATATTACATACATACTTACTTGTTTTTCCCAAGTAGTTATTCACTCGGTTCCCTTTGAATCTACAATCTACAATCTAACTCACACAATTAAACCTTAAAATCGAGCATTATGGTAGCCCCACTTTATATTCATTTTTGCTTTATTTCAAAGACTGCATATATATGCATCTTCCTTAGCTTTGTATATGAATGAAAATAATTTTTATAGTGTGATAGGTATACATAGACTGTATTTAAAAGCAGAATTTTTACTTGTTGAAGGGAAAAGTGCTACAATACAAACCATTGGTTTGACCCAACTTTATTTATATTGAATAACAATAAGTAGGTTTTAGAAAACAATAAACAGATAAGATATCATAGTTCAATAAAATAAATTTCAAGTGACATAAGACTCAAAAATAAATTTTAAAAATAAGAATTTAATTTTCTTCTATTAGTACCAGGTACCTATTATGTTGAATTCTTTAATTAGTACTATATGGAAACTTCATTTATATCAGAGTGTTATTGATTTAAATTACGATATGTAATTTAGGTAAAATCTTGTTAATGCCTTATAGTTCCTATGATAGCAATTTAATGTTATATAAATTGAGAACTACATACATAAGTTCTTTAAAGGTATTTTACAAATCACTCATTTCATTGATTCAGATTATGGTTGTTGATATTGTTTAATTATTGCGTGTAATAGGTTTTATATATACATATGTGTAAACAATGCATATTTTGTTGTAAAAATCTGATGCATGTAATGAAGTATATATATGTATATGTACATATACATAGATGCACATACATTATATTAGAATTCACTTTTAATTTCCAATTAAAAATAGAGTCATTTTAAAATACTAAGTAACTATATAGCTAACCAATTATTCTCAGAAAATAAATGAATTACAAATGATCGAAAAAGCTTCTACGTGCCTTTGTTTTTAAATTAGAGAAACGAAAAAGTGTGTAAAATACAAATTATTGCAAAATATATTTGTATATATGTATTAAGTATCTAACTATAAAAAATGTATAACAGATGGGAAAATATACTACATATTTAATTTTGCACTTTGACTTCAAAAGTATAATATGATTAAATCGAAATGTTAATGTTCAATTTTAAGAAGAATTTTCTATTACTATTGTTTTTCGGAAATTTTTTTATCAAATTTAAGACATTGAACACTAATTTGTAAAAAATAATTAGGCATTATAATAAGTACATATGAGTACCTACGTGAGTATTTTTTTCTTGTTACAAATAATGAATGTTATCTTTTGAAAATCTTACGTACTTCAATCAATTTTTAAAGCTTATAAGCCTTTGCAAAAGTATTCGGCTCTTAATATCTTGGAATATCTTGGAATTAACTATAATAATAATTTATAACGCAATTTAAGACATTTGTACTATTTTTTTTTTAGATTAATTTTATTTTTAAACAATTAAGACGTACGTATGTATATGTAAGAATGTGTATGCGTAAAATTATTTCTGGTAATTGAAATCACATACGTATAACAATTTTATTAAAGGGCGTATAATTATGTATGGATGACTTTGTTAAAATTTTTTTTTTACAGTAAAACTCTTATAAACGAAAATTATTTTGGAAATGCAATAATGTACAAAAATTACATATTAATGCAAAAACCAAAAACTCTCGTAATTTATATCGATTACAAAACACAAATTTTGAAAGAATGTTCTTATTTTCTTAAAATAAATTTCGTTACTTAAATTTTAAAATAATAAAAACTCGTTCCGTATCAGAACGAATTTTTGCGTATTATTAGAAATAATAATTGCTAATATTGTTGGAGATCCAATATTGGAATTTGTTTCTAGCTATTTTATAAACTGATTTTCTAATTTTGATTCTTTCTAATATAATTATTGTAGTTAGTAAAGTATCCGAGTTAATTATAGTCTTCTTATATACCTGTTTTACTCGTATGTTTGATTTACACTGTTCTTTGAAAAAAAACATAAGATTTATAAGTATGTAAATCTTATGTTAAATGTGCGAAACATATACATGCATACCTAAGTATTTTTTTTTTTGAATTTCCAAATTTAAATATTTTTTAAACTTTTCCAAATAAATACCGCTTTCGATTTATGTTTACAGAAAATATTTATGTACTGTTGCATTTTCATGGATTTCAGAATAATATAGTATTTCGTGTAATGAAAATTTGTGATTTTGCACGTTTTATCTATTATTTAAAATATGTACGTTATGTATGTTGTTTATTTTCAAAAGTTCTATTTAACCACAACTGCATAATTTATTTTCATTGTTTGGTGCTAATTTTTTGTGGTTTTTTTCTCTTTTGTTTCTTCATTTAAAATTTAAAATCGTTTATTACATCTTAAATTTCATTAAAAAAGGGATTTATAAAACGACATAAAATATAATTCATAAAATCTTTAAATTGTGTTGAACACTGTCAAAGATGTAGAAAACACTAAATTGTATTTGGTACTCATACTAATAGTAGTATTAAACAATTTTTGAATAAAGAAGTTTTCAAAAAAAAATATTCCTGTCAAAAACTTTCAAATCAATATTGAATTACGAAAATTTCTACCTATGTATTTATCGAAAATCTGTTCATAGTTCGAAAAATTAAGACTTTATCATTTAGGTATGGTTCGAATGCATTTAGATTTTGTATACTTAATATGTTAATGTCTTATCCATTATTTTATTAATACATAATTTTATTTATTATTTTCCAGGTTTTAATATTTGCAGTATGTAAGTGTTTTGTTGCCCGAAAAACAGACAGGATGAGAGGTAAATATATTTTATTATTTTGTTATTTCAAAAATATCGGTTACATTACGTTACATTATATTTATATCTGCATATACATATACATATATGAACATTAAAATTTAAAAAATTTTTAAATAGATTAGGTCTTTAAGAAAATGTCAATTGTTTGTTAAAATCATTTGTACAAAATTAAGTTTTGACCAATAGCGCTGTCAAATTTCGAATGTTTGCAATAGATTTTAACACTAGATAGCAATAAATCTACTTGTACAAGATCTTATTTTTTCACTATTCTTAAAAATAATCACCAATAGGAAAATGTATATTGAATTTGAATTTAATTGAAAATAAAACATGTACATATTTCTAATTCATAAAGAATTATTTTTTTTTTACAGGAAGGCGAATACCTTTACCATTACCCAATACGGGTGCTATGTACAGAAGAAAAAATTCATTATGCATCCGCGCTATTTTATTAATTTTTATAATGCTCTTTGTAATTCTACAATTACATTTATTTAATTATAGTAAGTAAAATTGCAATTTAATACTAAAATTATTCAAGTAATAATTATGTTCTATATTTATTTTAATTTTTTAGCCGAAGTTCATGATAATACATTAGTAGATACAACAAATGACACAGCTGCTGCCATTTTATCTATGGTGCCATCAGTTTTCCATAAATTTTTAGCACATAAAAGCAGAAATCAAACTTATGGTAAGGCAAAAAATATCATTAAATATTTTCAAAACCTAATTTATTTGTATATTAAATTGGATAATAAAAATATAGATTGACATTATAATTAAAAAAACTATATATAAGAATATAAATTTCACAAATTTGTAATATCATAATAATTTTTCGTTATAGGCCATGGGAATGGTACACAAAATGGATTTGTTGAATTATACCATCCACCCAACATTTCTGAGATTAAGAAAATGATTGCCAAATATAATGAATTGCAAATAGTTTTAAATGAAGACATTTTTGGCCCACTTCAAAATGATTCTGTGATAATTGTTGTGCAGGTAAGTTATACTATACATATTTGAATATCATAATTTTTAATTTTAACATAAAATTTTATTTCATGAATTAGGTGCACACACGAATAACATACCTTAAGCATTTGATTGTGAGTTTGGCACAAGCTCGAGATATTTCTCGAACTTTATTAGTATTTTCGCATGATTACTACGATGAAGATATAAACGATCTAATACAAACAATAGATTTTTGCAAAGTAATGCAAGTAAGTATTATTAAAAAAAAATTTATCAGTTATTTATTTATTTCTATAAAACGTTAATTATATAATTGTGATTTCATTTATCATATTTCATCTATTCAACCATATATTTCTCATTCAAATTAATACTAAAGTTTTTACTTTTACTTTAATATTTTTTTGTTTATTTTAGATATTTTACCCTTACTCAATTCAAACACATCCTCATGAGTTTCCTGGTGTTGATCCTGGTGATTGCGCAAGAGACATGAAAAAAGAACAGTAAATATAACCTTCATATTTGTATTAAAAAGGATATTAAGGAAATAATTAAATATAAAAATATTTTAAGGGCACTTATTAAAAAGTGTAATAATGCACAACATCCAGATTTATATGGCCATTATAGAGAAGCAGCATTTACACAAACTAAACATCACTGGTGGTGGAAGGCAAATCGTGTTTTTGATCAATTAGAAATAACTCGATGTCACACAGGTACATACGTAAATAAATCTAAATTTAAATATTATAATGTTTTATATTTTTGCTACTATATCGTATTTGTATATATGTATTTTAGAGATTTATACACAAAAATTTTTATTTTAAATTTTAGGCTTGGTGCTATTTTTAGAAGAAGATCATTATGTGGCTGAAGATTTTCTTTATTTGCTAGAATTGATGCAAAAACGTGCTTTACAATTATGTCAAAATTGTAACATATTATCTTTAGGAACATATTTAAAAACTTTTAATTATTACACTTACAATAGTAAGGTAAAATTTTTTTTTGAATTTTTTTGATTTATTGTTCATAAGATTTCAACATGTCACAACCAAATTACAAAAATTATTTATAATGTTAAATTTGATGTGTATTTTAGTTCTGTAATTTTATTTTAAAAAAATCTACTTAAATTATTGTTTCTAACCAAATAGTTTCACAGTTCTTTTTTAGTTTTGAAAACTATTATAAGTTATATAACACTAAAATTTTTAGTTTTTTTTACTATTTAGATTATTTTATTACTACATTATATAATAATCTCCTTTGATTTATTACTTTGTTTTTTGGTTAACAAGAATTTTATAATTTAAATTGTCAATTTGGCTGAAGAAATTAAAACTTTTACATCGTTTAACAATTCACGTGAATTAAAACAATTTGAAAAATTTATAACAATTAAATTTCAAAATTACTATGAGTTAAAAAGTGTGAAAATAACTTAAAAACACCATCACGTTCTAGCATATCACATTTTGAAATCAATTTCAGAAATCATTTTGTTCGATGAACAGAAATCAATGTAATATAATACTTTAAGTTTTCTTTAAAGCAAAAAAAAAAATCAAATTTTTGTAATGGATGTTAATTTTTGTGAAATTTTAATAGGCATCATTAAATTTTTCATTGAAATAGTTTATGTTTTATAATATTGCAAATTACTTACATATATTATGCAAATTATTTGCCGTAAAAATTGAAGTTAAAAATAATTACATTTCTTCGTGTGTCATAACATTGAAGTTGAATCGTTTGATATTAACTTTTGGAAATCATTAATTCAGTAATGCTTCTTCATATTTTCAACATCTTTCACAATCTTTTATTATTCTATTATAAAAAAGGGTCATTTAGTAAGATGATTTGTAACAATCAATAGAAAAATTATTTGCATTTTAAATTTAATATTATAAATGGCATATGTATATTTTTCTTCATAAATATTATCGATAGAAATTTAAGTGATAATTGAATTTTTATCATTAAGAGATACAAATATGGTAGTAATTTATTTAATTAATAGATATTTTAATTTTCTTAATAAAACCATTAATTAAACCACTAAGTTAAGAAACAAGAAAAGTAATAATTTTGAAAAATGCCTTTTCACTTTTTGTTAACTTCCTTAACATTTACATATTTGAGTATTTTAATTAAGAAAAAATTATTGATAAGGTTTAGATTTAGAAATTTAAATCTATAAAGCTATTTTACCATTGTAAACATTATGCAATTAATTAATAGTCAAAACATCTTTGATTATTATTCTTATGTAAATGTTCACATTTATTAGTATTTTAAAGTTTAATATCATTTTTTTAATTTGAGATAATTAAAAATTTCGACTTATATTACAAATAGAATAATTTTATTATTATGTTAGATCAATTTTCACTTGAGTCAGTTAAATCTTCCGAGTTTTGTCAGTTTAATTTCCATTTCTTTTTAGTTCAACATTCATAGTTTTTAATTCAGCATTTTTTCCTTGAAAAGTAAGGCTATCTATGAAAAAGATTATGAGTTTGTTCATTTCTTAAAAAACATTGTTGCCACAGAAATTTACCGAATTCAATTCATATTTTTTCTCTATAATAATCTTACATTATAAACGTTAAAATAAAACAATGAACTAATAATGAATTCTAATAGACAATCATAATTTTAATTATGATCTAAAAATTTTATTACATTTTAGTTTTTTTCAAATTTTAATAATTAAAAATGTTCACGTGAATAAAAAATTTGATTCAAAATTATTGTCTTAATTTAATGTTATTTTCTTTTTTAAACTAATTTTTTTTTTATAAACACATCATGTATAATTATTTTTTATTTAAATCTTTGTAATCACTAACCATGTATAACCACCCACCTCACAGAATAAAAATAAAGCTTATTATGGTCAATATACTGGTTCAAGTGCATCTAACAACATATTAGGAAATTATGGTAATAAATTAAAAACTTATCAAAATCAAAATTCCTTTCATCTTGATCGAAAAAACAAACCAACTTCAAATGAATTAAAGAATTCGAATAATGTGGCACAGCAAACTTGGAGTTATCATGTATTACCATCATTATATTCTGTTTATCAAAAGGTAGAAAATATTATATCACTAATAATTGTCGATCGACTTATTTAACATATTTAAAAAATGTATAAAAAAAAAAAAAAACTCAATTTTGTAAAGTATAAATAGAATATTATTGTGTAATGAATAGTTTATCTTAGCGTATTTATTACGAGCATTTCATTATGTTATATAGAATATTTTACAATTAGAATATTTATGTTTTTGAAATAAACGTGTTTTTTTGATATTATTTTTTTTGAAATTATTAAATATACATTTTAAACTTCTTAATGTGAATATTGTATTCCACTTCATCTTTTAATTCTATTTGTCAACCAAAATTTAAAATTTCATTAAAATTCTTTAAAATTACATTCAAAATTGTGCCAATTGGTAATATCTTAATGACAATATTTCTAAATATTTTTTATACAATATAAAATATTTTGCATTTTCTTATTTAAATTTAAATTTGATGAAATGGTATGAAGAGTATTCAATTTAATTATTTTCTTAATATTTAAATTTACGAATTGTTCCTCAGTGTATGAAAACAGTGCTTAGTTGTAATATAAACAAAATGTACTTAAATTGTTAAAATGTTATTAACCATAATTATTTTTTTAAATAATTTAATTTCTGTAAATGCATGATTTAGTTTTTTATTAATATGTATATTTACTATAACTTATTTTAATATTAAGTACCAAAAATATTAATGAAATAATCGAATTCAATCACATATTTTCATAATTTTTTAATTGCATGGTGATTTGAATTATTCAAAAAATAATGTGAATTTTTATGGTAGTTAAAAATAGGTTAGGTTTTGTAAAACAAAATATAGAGTAGAATTTTTTTTTATAATATTAAGCAATTCACTAAAACTGAGGTGAAGATATAAAAAATATGAACAGGTTAATAATTAGGTAAAAAAAATTTTAAATGCAATTTTAAATTTTTTAATTTGTTTTTTTTTTTTTCCTATGTGGACATTTGCCTTGATTTTATAAATTATATAAGTTCACATATCTTTAGTATTTAAATTGAAAAGCATTTTATTAAAATCATATTTTTATATAAATTAGGTTTCTCCGCAATCCTACAGAATGCTAAAATTTAAAAAAGAAATATTATTTCCAAATCAGGTATTTATGAGCGTGCTGAAAAAATAATTGAAAAATCTGTTGTTTTTTTCTTTTAGAAAGAGTTTTGAGAGTGGGCTATGATAGCTAAATATTTAACAAAATATATTAAAAAAAATGCTTTCAAATTTGTTTGATTTTCCCAGCACTTTAAAAAAATAGTTTAATTGAAAAATGAAATACTACTGCTTTCAATCTGATTTTAATTTTAATACAGTGATGTTCCAATATAACGAATACCAAATATAACGAATGTTCCAATATAACGAACAGCTACGTTTTTTTAATTGTAAGTACTCCATATAACGAATATAAAAAAAATGAAAATTATTCATGATAGTTATAGTAGTCTTTTATTAGGGCAGCTAACTATCCATAACAGGTATCTATAACAGCTGTACAAAGCTACTTTTATTGAGTGGATTGAGCAAAATTATCGTGAATATGAAGATATTTTTTTCAAAAAAATTCAACTTCAAGAAAAAGTCCATTTTTTGCAGATTCCATGCACAACTAAAGAATTAAAAATTGACAGTTATTTTCAAAAAATAAATGATCATTATTTTTTTCTTACATACTCGTATGTACGTATTTAAATTTGAAAATAAACACAATTTACATTTGATTTTAGTACATACCAATATGTTCTTATTTTAGATTCGATATAACGGACAATCTCAATATAAAGAACATTATATCGTTCATTATATTGGAACACCAGTGTATTTAAAAAAATAATTTGGAATATCTTACATGAATAGAATTTGCAAAATAATTAGTTTTTACTTTTTACTAAATAAATAAATGAAATAAGATGTTTGGATTTTCTTATATCTTTAAAATTATATTTAGGTATTTTTAAATGAAAATTTATAAATATAACTCCTAGCCCTATCATGATTTTCCCTCGTAGAATTCCACGAATTACGAACTTAACTTCGATGTAGACTTTTGAATGTGCACAAATTATGAAATTATGTATCACCATTCGTAGTGATTATGAATCAACGATGGCAGTACCATTTTTCGGAGTGTCAAAATCAGTATTTTATTTCAACTATCAAATGTTTATTTATATTTTTTGTATTAAAGTTTTGCAGTTTCTTTAGTTTTTGAATATATTTCAAGAGTGGGAATTTTTTTTTGGCAAATATGAATTAATTTCCCTTCATTGGTATAATCCAAGCAAAAGTAATACAACCATTCTCTTTAAACGTGTGATTATTTCTTTCGTAGACTTTTGAGGGTTATTTGTAATACAAACGTAATTTATGATTACTCTGTTACGAACATTTAGAGCTGAAATTTAGAAATTCGTAATTTCCGAATTTCAGAGCTACGAACGAAATTCATGATAAGGCTGTTCTATTTCTTAACTTCTTTTGTTTTGAACATAAAATATTGTAGTTCTAGGAGAGCCGTTGAATTTTTTGGTGTTATTAGATTTCAAATATTATAGATTTACAACAGTGCACTTTTTTTTATCTTGTAATTTTATATTTAAATGTGTAAATGTTTTTTATTTTTTTATTGCACTTGTTTTTTATATTTACATAAATTATGTTTTATTAGTACTTATTAATAAGGGTTATTATAGTTGTATTGAAAAGTGTTGTTAACACTATAGTTTGTTTGAATTTTAAATTAAGTCTGATAACAAAACAATTGAATGTATATTTAAAAATAATGCAATCACGTTGAATATTACATAAAACAATAAATCTAAAAGTAGTTAAATTTTTCTTTTTTTATATTCTAACAACAAGTCATAATTAATTACTAAAAATATATTTAATTGAGTAAGAGGAATATTGAAATTTTTTGTCAAAAAATGCCGTCTATTGTGTTGTATTTTATTGTTATTTTATTTTTTAGTTTCAATTTTATTGTATTTTAAGGTTAGTTTTCAAAAAATCTGTCCTACAAACAGGCAATATGATATATATAACAGGCAATATGTTCTGATAATTATAACAATATGTTATAATTATCAGAACAAATTATAGCATACATTAATTATATAATTTTTTTTTATTTTACTAATATTTTTCTTTTAATAATTACTAATATTTTTCTATATTTTTATTAGTGTGAGCATATATATTTTTTTTATATATTAATTAAGATTTAAAATTTTAGGGTATTCAATTTTTCAATAATATTAGGTCTCATCATGATTTTAATTTCCTTTAAATGTAATATGTATGGTATAGGGTAGGGTATATTGATTACTTTTTTGTAATATCACGTACATATTTGCAATAATACTTAAAGAAAAAGTGAATTTAATGAAAAATTTTGTTTAAGTTAAGAAATATTCCAATTAATGTAACAATTTGAATTCTTTGCATGAAAAGTCATATAAATATTAAATACAAACTTGAATATTTTTTTATATTATTTTAAATTTCTTAAACACACAAAAAATATGTGTATATAATAGGTCTTATTCTTTGCATATTTATTGCAATTGAAATTAATAATTAGTTAAGATATGTATTTCGAGATATATACTTTTCTTTTAGATTTAAATTTTTATTTAAATTTGAATCTTATTTTTATATTGTTTATTTGTGTTAAGAGATAGAAGCATGTTTTTTAGTATAGAAAAAGAAGTCTAAAAATAAAATGTAATTTTATAATAAATATTAATTTTATTTTTGTATTTTTATTTTTTTGCAAAAGGTTGAAGTTATGCCTTGGATAAGCAGCAAACATAATATGGGATTTGCATTTAATAAAAATACTTGGCAATCGATACGTAATTGTGCTATACATTTTTGTAATTATGATGATTACAATTGGGATTGGTCCTTACAGCATTTATCGCAACAATGTTTGAAAAACAAATTACGTGCTATGATAGTTAAGGGACCAAGAGTTTTTCATATTGGTGAATGGTAAATAATATAGTTTTAAAAATAAATATATTTAAATTAATTATATTTTATAAAAATTGTGCTTTTATGAAATGTTGTAAATTTATTATAATTTTATTTTAAATTGAATCATATATTATTACATGTTTCATAATTTATTTATTAATATAATTATTTTTTTATTTTATTTTAGTGGAGTTCATCATAAAAAGAAAAACTGTGAATCAAATCAGGTTATATCAAAAGTTCAACAAGTTTTAAGAATTGCTAAAAACTCTGGTCAAATGTTCCCGAAAAGTTTAACTTTAACTGTAGCCAGTTTAATAAAACGAACGAAATTACGTAAAGGGAACGGCGGTTGGGGTGATGAACGTGATCATGAATTATGTTTAAATTTTACTAGGGTAAATAGATAAATTCATTTGTAATTCAACTAACTTAATAAATTTTAAATCGAAAAAAAAAAAATTATTTATTATAAAAATTAAAACAAAAATAAAATAACGAAGAAAAAAAAGAAGTATTAAAAAAAAACAAAAATGGAAAATCAATGCACATTTATTAAAAACTAAATTTTGAATAAAAAGCAAAGAAATGTACATATACATATTAAATATAAACAAAAAAAAAATAGTCCAATAGAAAACACATTTCTTTTGTATAATATACAATTATAATAAATAAATTAAATTTTATAGTAAATATAAAAACTAAAAAAAAATAAATGTAAGTTACACTTAATAAAGACATTAAAGAAATGCTTTATACAATATAATTATATAAAATTTAACTTTTGTAACAAGTAATTGCACTTTTTGAATATAAAAAAAATGGGTAAAATATAAATTTGTCACTTCAGGTATTTTTCTAGTTTTTTGTCCAAATGTAATTAAGCATTTGTTTTAAAATTTGATATATTCTAAAATATAAAATTAATAAGTTTTTTTTTACTTTTACGTTTACTTTTAGTTAGTAATGATAATTCCTTCCAAAATACAAAAAACAGAATTGAATTCTAAACATGATGTATAAAAATTATAAATATTTGAATGTCGATTTTCTAAAACACTACTTAATACTTAATTTTTTTATTTGTATAATTATATTAGACTATAATGATATATGTAATTAATATAATTTAAAAAAAAAATTGTATTACCAAAAAGTTCAACCTCGTTTATTTTATATAATATTATGTATTTTTAGTAAAAATAATCTGTTTGTTATGGTTTTTTTGTTTATATATGTATATATATCGCGATTTTTATTTTTTTAAAATTGAATATAAGACTCTTTTGAAACGACTACCTTTAAAAAAAAAATAAAGCGCCCCGAAAATTCAAAAAGTGCAATTATTAGAGTTTCAAAAATCATTTAATAAATTCATAGAAGCACAAATTATTAGCAAATTGTTGTAAAAAGTAAATAACGTTTATGTAAGCCTAATTTTATATAATATTTTACCAAAAACAAAAAAAAATATCTCCAAAAAATTCTAATATAATTTTAATAATATATTTTCTCGACTATAGATAAGATATAAAAAATAGTTAGAAGAATTTTATTTTTATATTTTTAAAATTGAAAATACCACAAAGTTAGCGCGAGAAAAAAAGCAAAAAAAAATAAAAATTTTCAAAACGGATATTAAAAATATTTTATGTTGTTTATTCAAAACACAATTAATTAGATATATTATTCCACCTATAAAAAGAAAGCAGGACATCTTGAATAGAAAATTAAGGAAAACTAAAGAAAAAATTTTAATTGAATATATATGAATGGAAGTTTTGGTTAATTTTAGATTTTTTTGTTTAATAATGACATCACCACTTTTTTTTTAATCTAAAAATTTTGAATGAATTCAAAAATTTCTGGGTATAAGATATTTGTAAAAAAGCTTTTTTCTTACTATTTCATTACGAATATTAAGATCACAAAAATAAGTTTTTATTCTAAGTTTTTAATTACCATATTTTACCAATTATTTAAAAGTAAAGTAAAAGTCCTATAAAACTGCTGCGCAGAATTTTATTTTATTTATATTTTTACGATATTTCTAAATTTTTTAAAATATTAAAATTTTTAAAATTATTAAAATTATTTCTGATATATTTTAATATTGATTTTTTGAATTGAAGATTTTCATTTAATAAGTTTTTTGTTATAAAAAAGAATAATGTATTTAATCGCAATTTATCATAATTCGTTCCTCATAGAAAGTAATCATTTTAACTGTTTTAAATAAACATGCTTTGATAAAATAATTAATTACATATAGTTAATGATTTAAAAAATGTTACACGTATAACAGATAAATTAAATATATAATAGAATAAATCAATAAAGATTTGACTGATTTAATTTGAAAATAAAATTAAAACAAAAGAAAAAGAAAACAAAAAATAACGAAAATAATTAACTGAAAATATAGAAATAGTTTTAAAACTTTTTAAAGCTATAATTGCATCTTGTTATACAGCGAAATCAAATACAAATATCAATTATTTTGGTTACATAATAAAAAAATTGTTTATTTTAAATTAAACAATATAATTGTTTTTATCTAAAAAAATTCACCACAAATTTTATGCAACGTAGGCCTAAAACAGTATATAGCAAAATTTAAATTATTACAATTAAAAAAGTTTGATTATAGTTTTAAATTCTAACATTATGAATATATTAAGAATTATTAATTTTATATAAAGACGTACTTTTAAACTAAATAAACCACAAATGAACATCGGGCAATACTTTATATTTAATTTCTAAAATTATTTATTGTTAATTCTTCATTCAACTCCATTATTTTTAATTTTAAAATAGTTTATAACCGTTTTACAACACATTTTAGAAATATTTTGTTCTTTTTATATTTAATTTACATACAATGGTATCTTATTTCATAAGATTGTAGATCTTATTTACATATAATGTACAATGTTAAATCTTTCTAAATTTAAACAGTTACAATTAATAATTCTTAATATAACATACATATTTAATTTCAAATTGCATTTCCAAAAAAAGATTTTAATTATTTCTATATAATTGAAATAAAATTTTATTTGCAAATATTCAGCAAAAATTTTATATAAAAAAAAAAATACTATGTTCCCAAAAATAATATTAAAAAAATTGCAAAAGACAAATAATTATTTTAGGAATAGGAAAAAAATTTGAGAAAAAAATTGAATTAAAAGTGTGAAAATTTGTTTTTTCTTTGAAAAATTGTTTTTTTTTTTTTAAAAAGGGAGTTTATAAATTCCTTTATTTAAATAATTCGCAAAATATTTATATAAAAATTTAATTTACATTTTTTTTTTAATATTTAAAATTTACATATTATATAAATGTAAAATTATAATCTATAATTAAAAAGCATCACGTAAAACAAAATAAATTTATAAAAAAAATATGTAGAATATTTTAATCAATTTGTGATGATATTTTTACACTAGCTTATACCAAAAATTAAATGATAATACTAGGTTGTGCAATTTAAACTAAGTTAAGTAAGCAAAAACCTAAGAAATTTTTTAGTTAGCAATAAAACATTGAATTATAATAATATTAATATTGGAAAGAAATATTTTAGTAGGAATATAATATCTTATTTTTTGAATTGGAACAATATTAGATTCGAAATAAATTTAGCTAATGAAAATGATACGTGATTTGAAATGAAAAGCGGCGACATTCTTTTTTATTGTTGTGAAAAATATTAATTAAGACTTAATTTACTTAACTTAGAAAAATTGCACAGCTAAATTCAATAATAAATTTAAAAAAAAATTTTATATTAAAACAATAAAGTACGATAATCATATATATTAAATTTTTGAATATTTGTTATTCAATTATTTTTAAGTATTTGCTGTAATTAGTGGAAAATTGCAAAAAAAAAATAAAAAGGTAAAAGAGAAATAAATAAAGTATATTAGTCGAAATTAAAAAAAAATCCATATTATTTCAGTAGAGTGAAAAATTTTAATTGGGACTTCGTGTTTTAAATATTGGGTTCAGGAAAGAGAGAAATACAAAGAACTAAGTGTTTTTAACATTTACCAGCTGCTATTTTGCAATTTTCTGTCGGAATGATATATTTTTAATTAAATTACAAATTTTTATTTGTACATTTATAATTGTAATTTTTTAATTTAAGATTTAATTTAGATTTATTTTAATATTGTTGTGTTATTCCTAATTTTTTTTTAATATTAATTTTGTTATTCAGTTTCTTTTTTGTTAATATATTTTCTCCTAGTCATAAAAATTACTAAATTGAAAAAAAAACATATGTAAAAGTAATGAAATAATAAAATCAATTACATACATATTATTATTTTTGGTTTTTCCTTTTACAGCTCTCTACTTTTCACTTTTATTGTATTTATAAAATTTTTTGAAAAATTTTCTACATCAAGTAATACATAATGTATATTTAATCAAAGAAACTTTTAGGAATGATTCAGGAAGTTGAAAACAAAATGCAGGTGAGAAAATGATAATGTTTGAATACTTTTCTAAAATGCAAAGAAGAAAACTTCGAAAATTTCGAAAAAATTATAATTTTCTGGTGATTAAACAGAGCAAGAGCAATATACATATTTGCATGTATATATTATTTGTATATTGCAAGTCTCGAAATTGTTGAATACATATATTTAGGTTTTTGGATCTCCCTTATTTTAAAATTATTAAAATATAATTGTCGTTATATTTATACCATTAGAATATTTGACACCGACCAATGGAAAAATTAAAAATAAAATATTCACTTTAAATAAAGATATTTTTAGGCAATTATATTTAAATTTACTAGTTTGTATATTCTACACATTTCAATAATTTTTCATTTTACTATTTTATAAAAAAAAATATATGTGATATGAATTATATGCTACATAACTATAGCTCATATCATACAACAATAAAATACCTAATTATACAATATTTTATAATAAAAGCTTGCATAATCATCCCTAAGTTTTACCTTATGCATCTAAATAAAATTGTAAATTTTCAAACTCTTTCAGATTTTAATTCACTGTTGGCAATATTAAAATTTATACTTTCCAACTGAAATAATTGACATTTAAATCTGATTTCTGACATTCTTATTGTCAAATTTTTATTTGACTGATAATAATCAGATACACGAGAATTGCATCGTAGACGATAATAATTTAGACTTCAATCAATGTTTTCAGTTGTTATTTTCGGCAGCCAGCAAGAACTAATTGTATTAAGGAAAGTTAAATATTTTTATTTTAGCGGAATTGTACTTTGAACTTGTTTATTTTTCTAGCAAAAAAAATTGCTTTATTTGATAAGAACAAACAAGAAAAAAAATAAAACGATTTTAGAATAATTAAGTTACAATGGCATTGTTGGTTAAAAGATTATCAATTAAGAATGGTGCTCCGGCAGCAGCATTAAATTTATTGAAATCAAACAATTTTTTCACTTACGTTAATGAGTAAGAGCTTTTATTTTTATAAAAGGGAGAGATATGCAAAATAAAATTACAAATTTACAGGCCTTCACATCCAATTCCTAATAAAAAACCAGATATAACAGATGATCCAAAAGTTGCTGTAAATTGCGTGAAATCCGGTAAGTTTTATCGTATCACATATTTGGCAATTATACATATATATATGTATATGTACCCTTTATTGTAATGTTAAAAATTTTTCAAAAATATTTATCTATTTTTTTATCCAATTTCAATATCTACAACAAATATAATAGATGGTTATGTAACATTTTTATTAACTATGAGCACAATATAAAAGTTATAATATGTATAAAAATTTAGAAATATCTACATAATGTACATAATATATATGTACCTACTTAGAATTTAGATTGCTAAGCAAAAATTCAAATCTGACCAAACGAGTTATTTTAGTATTATATTAAAAATATAATTTGCTTAATATGTAATATAAAATGAGCTTAATTTTTCATCAACAATATTCAGATACACATACAATCTAACTCTTTTATTGCTGTTCTGCGTTTTTTGACATGATCTTGAAACAAAAAAAATAGATAAAAACAAATTCTACTTCAATATAAATATATTACATTTGTCTTAATTACCGCATTAATATTTTATTATCTTTGAAAACAAGGGCAACGTGATTTGAATTTTCAATCACGTTCGTATGTACACATATGTATGTACGTAAAATACTCATAATATGCCTAGCTACTTGCTCATTACATTTTTCAGATTTTACCAAAAAGTTATTTTTGACTATGATAAAACTGTTCGAATTTTAAGAAGTTCAAATTTTATAAGAAAAAACAATCGAATTTCACATTTACATACTATGTACATTAAAAAATTTTAAGTAAAATTAAAATAAAAGTAATTTTTTTTCCTCTCTAATACCACATTACTTAATAGTAATTATCTATATAGGTGCCTTACCTATATATACATATATTATATGAATTAAAAATAAGGTCAATATTCTTAATACTAATTAATATTATGTATGTATGTATGTAAGTATAAAAGTGTTAAAACTTACGTAAAATAATGGACCGAATTTAGACTTGCATATTAAATTTAATTAAATCAATAAATTTAAACATTTTATAAACAATTTATACGAACAATGAGGTATATATAGCATAATCCAAAATATAAACTTTAAACTATTTTATCATTGAATCGTTATAACCCTATGTACCTAATAGTTTAAAAAATCTTAAAAAGCTTCTTCAATTACTCTACATATATGTAACGTACATATGTATTATTGGTACCTCATTGTCGTTATTAAATTTAATTTTATTGTTTATTTTCTTAATTGGTTTGTTAACATGTTGTATTTCATTCAACCTAATAAATTTATCTATTCTCAGATTCATTTTGTCATAATATTATTTTTTATAATTATTTTTTCATAACAAATAAAATATTGTCTGAATTAACAAATATGTGATAACAATTTGTCTAATTAGCAATATTATCATTTTTGGTATAAATTCCATTCCAATGTTTAGATAGATAGGTACCAACAAAGCTTTTTATATATGTATGTACCCACATTATTTATGATTTCTATATAATATTGTAAATATTTACATATTTTTGTACATATCTAATAGACATATAGATCATTTTGAAATATGATTCTGGTACATAACATTCTTATAACTTTCACTCTTACAATCTAAGATTGATTGCAAATCAAGTGAATAACAATAAAATATTTTAAAAAGCTAAACTTAAGGCTAAACTCGAAAAATATGCACAAATCGTTCATTCTAATATATTAATTCCAAAATTTAAATTGGAAATTTTCGAAAATTAGGTTTCAAAATTATGAATCTTTAATATGTATAAATTAAATACTTATACAACTAGTTCCAATTATTTGAATTTTGTTTTTGTCCTTTTGTTTAAATGAATTTCAATATATCACTAGTTGAACTTTACGAAAAATTTATTGTATTTATTGTTTTCATTGTAAAATTTTACTGTATATTGCAATATGGTGAACTTTAATTACTGAATATTTTTTTTTGTTACAGGCGATGTTGTATTTTGTTCTGGTGCTGCATCAACTCCTAATGTGTTGATACAAGCAATGACCGATAATGCTGTGGAAAAGAAACAACAGAATATTACGGTATGTCATATGCATACAGAAGGACCAGCTGCCTATTGCAATCCTGAAGTATCTCATATATTTAGATCATCATCATTTTTTATGGGTGGAAATGTTCGTAAAGCTGTAGCTGAAGGACGTGGTGATAATATGTCAATCTTTTTACAAGACATACCAAAACTTTTTACAACTGGAATCGTAAAACCAGATGTAGCATTTATTCATGTTTCACCACCAGATCGTCATGGTTATTGTTCATTAGGTACAAGTGTTGATTGCGTTCGAGCTGGATTAATGCATTCAAAAAAGATTGTCGGTAAGTTTGCAACATTTTGTATTTGTATTTTGTATTGATTTTTTTTTTCATATTTATTCTTATTGAATGTGTTATATTCTTTTCAGCTAATTTGAACAGCTCAATAATAAATCTACTGAAAAGTTCAATATGCTTTATATCCGGAACGAATAATAATTTGTAATCCTGTGTTTAAGTGGTCATTGTCTGTCTTCTAAGCAAATCGTAAATTTCTTTATGAAATAAGTTTATAAGATCCCTCTTTTAGGTCCTTCCTTGATTATGCTTTTCTTTTTTCAATGGGGCTTCGTGCCATTGTCGCGAAATTAGTTATACCCTGTAATTTCCTCAGGTATCTGCCTCTTTTTTATTTTTCTTATTAATCATTCGAGTCAATTCTTTTACACCATATTTTAACCTTTGATACACAAATATTTGTTGTACTGTTTGTAATACATTAATTTCTAATTCTTTTTTTGATATCTGGTCACAGATGCTTTTCTTTTTTAAATATTTTCTCTATTTTTTTACAACATTTTCAAACGCATCACTTGATGTTTTTCAAGAAATACGCTAAAACATAGTTTATCAGCAAGCTGTGAAACCTTTTTTTGATTATCCAAGTATTAACATAGTTTAAACCTCATTTTTTATTTTAATTTTGAAGAAGATTTTAAGAGTGAATGAATCTTTTGGAACAAAAAATATGAAATCATGATAAAATACAGAATAATTTGCATATTTATTACACGCTCTAATATTTTTGTTACTAAATATATTTATGTTTACAACATTTTTTTTAGCACAAATTAATAAACAAATGCCGAGAACATTTGGAGACTCCATTATTCATATGTCGCATTTTGACTCTGCTATTAACATTGATGTACCACTACCACAACACGGTGGTAAAGGAATATCTGATGTTGAAAATAAAATTGGACAAATTATTGCTGAAAACTTGGTCGAAGACGGTGCCACATTACAAATGGGAATTGGTTCTATTCCAGACGCTGTTTTAAATGCATTACATAATCATAAAAATTTGGGTATCCATTCTGAAATGTTTGCAAATGGAGTTGTTGATTTAGTTAATAAGGGATGTGTAACAAATTCTGAAAAAACAATTCACAGAGGTCGTATTGTCGGCTCATTTTTAATTGGTAATCAAGAACTTTACGATTTTGTTAACGACAATCCATTCATTGGTGAGGCATTTATCATAATAATAAAAATATATAGATTATAAAATAAACTTTTATTTAATTTACAGAAATGTTAACAATTGATTATGTTAACAGGGGTGCAATTGTTGCCCAAAATCCTAAAATGACTGCAATTAATTCCTGTATTGAAGTTGATATAACTGGACAAGTTAATTCAGACTCTATTGGAACCAGATTTTATTCAGGATTTGGTGGCCAAGTAGACTTTATAAGAGGAGCTGCTGAAGGTTTTGATGGAAAAGGAAAACCAATTATTGCAATGCCATCTGTAACAAACAAGGGAATTAGCAAAATTGTACCACTTTTAAAACCAGGTTCTATATATATATAAATTTATTAAAAGAGACAAATATTTGATTCTTAATTTTTCTTTTTTTAGGTGCCGGCGTTGTAACTTCTAGAGCACATGTGCATTATGTGGTTACTGAATATGGCGTTGCAGAATTATTTGGAAAAACCATGCGTCAAAGAGCACATGCTTTAATTAATATTGCTCATCCTGATCATAGAGAAGCGCTTGAAAAAGCCGCCTTTGAACGATTTAAGACTACTCCTTCCCCATAAAGATTATAAAAAAAATTTAGTGAGCGATTAAATGCATTGCAATGCGGAAAATGCCGAAAATGAAAATATTTTATTTTGTAAATTAAGAAGAAACGTAATTTGTACTCTATTACTTTAAAACGATATTAAGCTGTAATTAGAAATTATATATATATATGAACATATCTATATAGAAAATGCCTTTGATCAAAATTATTAGGTGTGTTCGAAATAATTAAAAAAAAAATGTTAAAAATTAGCTTTCCTGAAAAAATTTGATTTTATTATAATACTAAAATTATTGTCTGTGCTTTTATTCTGTTTAACCTTAAACGCATTTCAATTTTGATTCCAGTTTAAAAGTTATAACAGTTTTATATTATCTACATTTATTTATTTGAGTAAAAAATTATGTCAAACTTTTGTAATTTTAATTTCCATGCACATTTTGTATTTTAAGTTAATAAAGTTTTGATTACCTTTTATTTCTATATTTTATTACGCTAGTTCATATGTATTTTAAAGTTTAAAATTTATAAATTAGAAAAAGAAATCATTTTGTTTCCAAAAAAAAAAGAAAGAAATAAAATATTACAAACCAAAAACAAACAAGAGTTTTTAAATCATGTGCTCCCAGTTGTTATCAGATTCACATTATTATTTTTCCTTTATTTCATTTCAAAAATACACACCAACAATTTGAAAAAGTTGTTCAATAATTTACGATCGAGACTCGAAGTTTTTTGTAAGAGAATTATAGCGGCTTATGGTCTGTTTTTAAATTGCATAAATTCAGGAAATGGCTTTGTTGCATTAAAAAAGTAAAGGTTTTAAGAGAAAAAAATAATAGCCATTATTACATTATGTTACAGATTAACCTTTTAAAAAATTGCCATACAGATTAAATTTTAAGAAAGCTTTGCCCATTTCAAATTATAAAAATATAATAAATACTAGTTCTGAAATTGTTTTTATTTCATTTTCTTTGGAAATGAAATACCTACACACTTATGTATGTATCCGATGTTGTAATTTTGAGAATAATGTTTCATTAGGTCCTAAAAACCTTTGTGCTGCTGCAAAAGTTGCAGGTAAATCTTGAAAACTACAAGAAATACAGGTAAATTCTTGAAACGTATCTAAACTAAAAAACCCATTCAAATTTTTGGAAACCTGACATGTACATACATATATAATTGCTTTACCGTTCATTTAGGGTTTAGGCCCTTATTATGTTCGGCGAAACGAATGAGATTTTTGGCGAATATGGATTTTTGGTATTATTAGCGTATTCGCCCAAAATTTAAGCGAATGAGGATTCAAATCTGTCGGATGAAAATTCTGTGTGATAAGCTTCGCGAATGAAACCAGAAATCATAATAATACAAACTTTTTTTTTTCATTGGATATTATAGAATTTATATTGATATAATAAAAAGACCTAAACTATCTGTAAAGTATGTATCTAAAATTCTACAAATTATTGTAAAAATATTGATACATTTAAGCGTAAAAAAAGAACCAAAAACACTTTTGGTTCAGAACAATCAATTGTTTTTGCAAAAAAAATGTACATATATGTGGTATTAACCTTATTATTTTCGGTAGGTTTTCTAATGTCTTGCGGTAGTACCATTTTGGATATGGCAAATGAAAGCAATGGGGATTTTCGTTTATTCCGTTCAAGAATAGTTTCTAACTTGCAGTACACTAAAAATATAGATCATTCGGAAATTACTGGCTGCAATAAAGTAAGTGCCTTCGGAAATTCAATCTGCAATAAAGAATTGTTAGAACCCCCATTGAACTCGCCTAGTCAATTCAACTCGCCTACTCATTCGCTTCGGCGATCATAATAAGTGTATTAATTATTAAATGTGTTTCAAATTTACTATGTACTTAATATTTAAAATTAAATCACTTTTTGGTGATTTAATTTACCTACAATTTTTAGGAATAAATGAAATGTAACTCTAGCAATATATATAAAGTTTCAAAAATAAATGAAATCTTAAACAATATTTTTCATTGCTTTATAAGGGTTTACCCTTATAAGATGGAGGAAACGTTTATCTTCATCAATATCTTTATAATATGTATACCCACATTTTTTATTACAACAATTTTACTGCCACTAATATTAAAATTGAAAAAATAAATAATGAATTCAAAAAAAATAAATTAAAATCATCGTTCATAGACGTTTTAACTTTATTTTCGTATATTATTACTTATATACAGTTCTTTAATGCTTTTGCTTTTTTATTTTGTCTTGTTTAAGTAAAAATCATTCAGTTACACATTTTTTTTTTTAAATATTGAAAAGTCATATGAAACAAAATTTAATACATGTTATTTGTATTATTTATATTGTGGAAAGTAACAAAACTTTTACAAATTTTAGGTTTTCTTATAAAAAAAAAGTCAATATACGTATAATTTCAAATACAATAAGTATGTATGGAAGTATGTATATTAAAAATACATAAAAATTTTAAAATATTTAAATTTAATTGATATCAGTATAAAATTATCAAATAATCCTTTTTTTTTTCATTGTAATTAATTAAAAAATTTTAATTAAAAATCAATTTTTGATTATTTTAAATTGATATTACTGAATTATTTAAATAATCGCAACCATTATTTTATATAAAAGTATTATAGTAAGAAAAAAATTAAATTACAATTGATAAACTATAAAAATTTTGCAAAAATAATTTTTAATTTAAAAAAAAAAAAAAGATGCTTAAAAAAAAAGTTTTGTTTTTTTTTATTATCCTTCTACTTTTGACTTAACATTTATAAAGTAAGAATGTGTTAAAGGGTAATTTTATTAATTCAAATTTTTGTATTTTTTTGTTTTTTTTTTTTTTAATATTATTTTTTAATTAGTTTTTATTTGTTTTTTACTTAATATTTATATTAAAAATTAATTGTTTATTTCTTTTTGTTTTTTCCTTTTGCATCAGCATTGTTATCTAATTTTATTTTCTTTTTGGGTACTTCTTCTTCTTCAGCTTCATCTTCATCTTCTTCATCTGAATCCATATCAACTACTTCAACATCATCTTTTAGATTTTGCCCGAGAATATAAACTGGTCCATTACCCTGAATCAATTTGAATGTAACTGATGTGTCATAAAATTCAATATCTGGATTAACAGCACGGGTTTCACCAGCTTTTAATACAGCAATTGGAATTTTTAGTGAATCTTTTACAGTGTGTACCTAAAAATTAACAAAAAAAAAATTATTATTTTTCATCATTACAAAAGTAAAAAAGTTTATTTAAAAAACAACAGATTCTTATAATTAAATAAGGAACCGCCTCCACTTAAACAATTATTAAACAAAATTTATTTGTTATTTTTTTTTCTTTTGGAAAAACTGATGGTTATTGACAAATTTTATGGGCCTACCTCAAAGCAAAACAGATATTTCTTCAGTAACTGTACTTTAGAATACTTGTAATTTTAGAACAATATCATAAATATTAGAATTAATTAACTAGTTTACCTTATCTTTATTCTATCTCTATTAAAACTTTAATTGCCTCATATAATTTCCAAAAAAAAAAATTTTTAATTCTAAACCAACATTTTGAATTTTTCTTTCTGTAATTTTTACAATTAATTATCATCTAAAATCTAGATTCTAGATTATAAAATAACTGTTGGCACACTGATTATGTGTTTTTTTTGCTTTCAAAAAAAGAATCCAAATTTTATTCTATTTCATTTTCTTCAGTATTTTTTGAAAAAATAATTGATATTATAAAAATTAAGCAAATAAAAAATAAAAAAAATATTAAATTTAAAAAAATAAACAATGGTAAATATTTAGTATTTACGATATTTACAAAATTAAATTTTATAACATCTTTTCCTAAATTATTTGGATTTAAATTTTACAATGAATTATCGTCAACTTTTATTTTATTAACTGGATAAAGAAAAAATTTATATAACAGTCATAAAGTTTTTAGATTTTCTTCTTTTTTTCCTTTTTTAATTATGACAATAATTTAAATTTTATAATTGGTAAATATAAAAGAAATATTTTTCTCTTAATTAATTTTGGATATTATTTTTAAGATTTTAACTTGTTTTTTATAATTGCAGGAAAGTGAAAAACACACGCTAATACATTTAGAGGATTTTCGTTTATGCACGCTGCGCTGAAAGTTCTACATTAAAACTAAAATTTCTAAATCGCAACGTTAGAAACTATAGAAAAACTTTAGGTAAGCTTTTTTTTGTTTACGCAGTCTACAAATTCTGAAACTTCTAAATAATCAGTCGTTCGAAAATAACAGAAATGATATTGTTTATGAAATTGTATCCCAATACCTTTCGTCTTCTAATTCATTGTAAAATAAGGCAATTTTAACAAGATTTGAAGACTTAAAGAAAACTTACTTTAATAATCCTTCAACATCTTAATCTGCCATTTTGAAATTTAAAATTTTTAAGGAAATTTTATGAGCCAGCTACAAACTTTATACTAGAGGTTTGTGCTACATTTCTAACATTTCTTTATTGCAGATTGAATTTTCGAACGCACTTTATAGTAATTTTCGAATGATCAGTGTATGTAGCGTGAATTTTCGAACTTACTACAAAATAGAACTATTCTAGAACTGAATAAACGAAAACTCGTGAATTTTGTAGTATATAGGATCAAACAAAATATTTGGTTTGATCCAATAGGATCAAACCAAATATTTTGTTATTCTTTAAGTGGAAATAAACCTTAAGATTGATGATGTTTTCAAAACAATTCATTAATGTATAGGTTCTTCTGCAGCATGTGCGCGCAATTTAACTTAAAACTTTGTTGCATTAATTGACAATCTTTAACTAAGTTATTTTTAAAAATACACTAGGATTGACATTATTATACTACTAATTGTCATTATTCTATTTGTCTTAAATATGAAAATATGTGTAAAACGGAACTGACCCAGAATGAAGCGAAATTACACTCGCGTTGGCTATAAAATATATACCGCTTTTGTTCTATTTTAATAACGAAAATCGTTTATTTCGCCGCTCTGATTCTGTTTTTACAATTATTAGAGAATTAAATATGTCATAAATATTTCACTTGCAGTTGTTAATAAAGTTGTACATATTTTTAAAAGCACTGCTTTACAGTTTAAGTCGTTCTTGATCTAATCAGTAGTGATCTAATATTAAACTGAACCTCTGAGAAGTGCGTTTCCTGTAGAGCATAATCTTTGTCAAAAACTAATTTAATATGAACACAAATAATATTTCTTTAATTTTTTGTTGAATTTTTTATTATTTTGTAAAAAAAAAACGATAAAGCATTTTTTTTTTAATTTTATATTATTAAGGGAAAGCAGCAAATTTATTAATGAAAAATCGTAAAATTAATTTACAACTTACTACTAATTAGGTATAATTTTTTAATGCCTAAATGAATAAAATCTCAAAATGTCAGAGTAAGTCTGGATCCTATAAGCAGACAAATAAACAATATGGAAACTGAATAAATCTTGCTTAAAAAGTGTAAATTAAAATTTTTAAATTTCTATTTATAATACAAATGCAAATTTATTTTTCTTTTTTGGTCGTAGTTTTTTTCTTTCAAATTAATTACGAGATCACTAATCAATATTTGAGAATTATAATTAATAATAAAAAATTTAAAATTTTTTTTATTTTTAGGTAATATTCGAATACATGTTAATTTTAATTAAATATTCATTTAGCACTAATATTAACAAAATTATATATGTGTATGTATTTATCGATTGAATGATAAATGGGTAGGTTTAAATAAGGAGTGGGAGACAGAAATAAGCAGGAATTGATGCTAAAATTTTCTTTTAAAATGTTCTGCACTAAATTGCTTTCGTTTTTAACAATTTTAATATTAAAAATGTTTTATTTTTTATAAATTTTATTTGAAATTATAAATTAAATCTCAAAAATTACCAGAAATTCCTTTAAAAGAACAGATAAGAAAGTGTTCATAACAGGTATAACAGGCAATATACGTTGTGTATGTAATGAAAATATATTTCTTTTAGGAATTGGCTACAATATTAGAAAATTTATTTGACCTATTTTATTTGACTGAACCGATCGAGAGATCGATTGCTATTTGATCTCATAAATTTGCATAAGTTTGATTGATTCCAAAATAATTAATATTCATATATACACGCTTTAAAAAATGAAATTCGTGAGATAGTTTCAGCAACAAGCAAAACTCAAATTACAAGAAATTCCATCAATTAGTTTTGTAGATGTGGAATTAAATGTAAAATCAGCTCCTGGTGCGGTTCCCAATCCCAGATCTTAAATTTAGAAATTCATCGGTTCATCGTTTTAACATCTCTAATTTAAATATTATATTTCAGGGAAATTGAATGATTATTTCTCTTTATACGTGCAAAAATGAAAAATCGATCCGCAAAATGTTGATCGTGTGTCACACAACCAAAATAACATCGCCCCGCAGACAGACAAACAAACCAACATCTCTTCACATCTCTTCAAAAATAGTTTATTTACACTCCTCTATACCATGGACAAGCGTTTTCCCACCGAAAACTCGACATCCGAAATTTGGTCCCGTCACATGATTTCCCTTTTTGTACGAAAAGCAGTCGGTAAACTCTTTAAAACAACTGAGTTTTTAAAGTGTGAAGTTCTTTTTTATCAGAGTTATTCGAGTATAAAAATAAAAAGTTCTAAATTTTTCTAATAAAAACCCTGTAGAAAACAAAATATTTACATAAATTTAAAATTCGCAAATTTAATATTTAAATAAGTTTTCTTTAATAACTTGCGCTGCAACAATGATTGAAACTATTTTGTTCTATTTTGTTTCTTGTTTTACGACAGAAGAAAAAAAAAATGGTTTATGGTTATTTTTCATTACAATCAAAATATTTGACTACTTTGACACAATTATGAAATAAATTAATAAATTAAATAAAACATTGAAAATTGTTTAAAATAAAATTATAAAATAAAATTTAAATTTATTTACACATTTTTAATAATGATGATTTTATTAATTTATTATATTGCATATTATTTTTACTAAAATTTCAGAAATAATTTTATAACTGTAAGCATTATTATTGTAAGCTTGTAAATATTTATAAAGTTTTTGAACTACTTAAACAACAAAGCAAGGGTAAGAACAATTTTTTTAAATGAGTAGCTAATAAAACTTAATAACAAATAAAATGTTTATATTTACATAGAACTTTCAGGGAACTAATGAAAAGTGAATTCACATCCTGTTTATGAGTTCATGTCCTATTTAATATTTTATGTGTAACTGTAGCACATATTACGACAGAAAACTTAAAAATACTTTACATGTATTTTTAAATTTGTAATTATGAAATTAAACAATATTGCAAAAAAAAAGAAACTTTCAGCGAATATTTTTAAAATTAATTCACAAAAAATTTAAATTTCTCAAAGTAAATAAAAGTTAAAAATATTTTGAAATAAAATATTTTAGTTTACTTTAACAGCCAATGTACATTATAAACACAAAAATAAAATTTAATTAAATTTTATTGCAAATACCGACTAGTAATAAGTTAAAGAATAAAATAAAAAAAAAGGGATGTGTAAATACGTCGTTGTTTATATAACACTTTAAATGTATAACATTAAACATGTAAACATTTTAAAGCACACCAACCTACATAACCAATCTAGTAATTGAGAATAAAATAAAACCACAATAACAGTAGGAGGCTTATTAAAAAAATATTCTTAAAATAAAATATGTCCAGCTTTTCATTCAAAAACTACCCCCCTAAATACATGACAGATAAAGTGCTATAATGTAGTTTGTGGATAGTCAATCGTGCTACATAAATATTACCCAATAATTAGTTAGGCTTCTGATTTTGTTAACTTATCATATAAAAAATTTTAGAATTATTTAATGAACTTGTCACTTTAAACAAAATTATAAGTATTGGAATAAAAATTGTATAGGTTTTGACAAAACGAAAAACATAATATAAAAAACATTTCAATTACTTTAAGTTCTCAAATTTCTTTTCACTCACTTTCTTGCACCGCCCGGTGAATTAAAAATTAATATAGAAAATAAGTTCGAATTAAATATTCAGTTATACATAAATTAAAGGACAAATGTTGCAGATTACTAAAATTCTGATTCAGTGTTAACGGGATATAATGGCTAATATAGAATAGATTTTA